ATGCTGGTCTCTCTGCTGTTTCTTTTCTCTGCCCTTGTCCTAGTTTTGGACACCCAAATAATAGGAGCAGTAATAGTAATACTGATTTACTGTTTAACAGACACTTAGCTCTTAATTTGTAGCAGGCACCATTTTAAGTGCGTTCCAAATATTAGCACACCTTTGTAGGCAGGCATTGTGAGATAATCAAGGCAGGCGGGGAGTTAAGTAACGAGTCCAAGGTTGAACAGCAAGGAAGTGGTGGAACTGAAACTGAACTCGGGGGGCAGGGGGTCCAGCTCTGGAGCCCAGATCCTTACCACATCATTGTTGTGACTGAACTAATAACAGCAGCTAACACTTCTAAGTGCCAGGCGTATGGCTCCACGTTCTTGGGCCTGTGGCCCAAGCTGGGTACCCGAGGGGTCACAGAGTGCCAGAACCAGACTTAACCCCATCTCTTCACTCAGCCCCTGTGCTCACGCCCTCTGCCCTTTTGCCTCCAGAGGCCAGAGTAATTGAAGTCCCACAGAATGATTTGAAAACATTTATTAATACCATTTCTCCAGTGCGAGGTGACGGAAGATGTCAGGGGAAAACTTAACCCTTTTTCGTGAATTAGTCTAGAGAACACATGCCAGCAATTGTCCCTTCTTTCTTCCCCAACTTTTCCAAAGGTTTTTGAGATTACCTCCCTTCTGATGCTCATGACTGATCTGTGCTCAGAGGCCACCTGCCGTGCCAGGCTTTCACTGCACTGGGTAAACCAGCAGCAATGAAAAGACCTTGTTCCAGAATGATGCCCCCTTTTATTGGTGCTGTTCTAGTAGGCCAGTGATCTAATCCCCCCAGCCTTCCAACCTGACATCCCCCTCCCGCTGCCCCTGAGCTATGAATGAACTGAATCTCTCCCCTGGCCCCTCACCCCTCGAAATTGCAATTTAATAACATTCAGCCACCCTGTGCTTACCTCCCCCTTATTAAAGGGACGGACCCTTGGTGGAGACTGGGGAGGGGCGCAGCACATTTCTGGGCAGCAAATTCCATCTCCAACTGAAGCAGTCTTGGAATGAAACTACAGCCATTCAGCCTAAGTTTGTTGCTTCTGGAAGGCTGGTCCTAGCTGGATCTAGGTTTCTTACACAGGACCACGGGAGAAATGTGTGCATGACTGTCACCCTAGTGATTTTTTAACAAGTTCTCCCTTAGCCGCCACCGCGTGCCCGAAGTAGTTTGTGTGAGATTGAGCTGCCCGAGCTGCCTGGGCTTCAGAAAGCGGGACTGAACCCGATGCCACGTGGTTAAGCTGCCTCCAGGGTGTCCCGGTCTCAGGCCCCCATTCGGGTCTCCGACCAGTGTCCCTGATCTTTCCACACTCCGCTAAGCTCAGGAGGCACCGGCCGGAACCGCACCTGGGCCTCCTGGGAGGCCTCTGTCCCAGGTCACAGGGCAGGACGAGGCTGCAGACATCACAGAGTGGTGCGTAGCAAAGGGAAGGTTCTTTCCCTTTCTCCCCAGCCCCATGACATAGGAAGTTCATTTGGTGAGAATTTGAGGGCAGGTGGGTAAAAGAAATAGCAAGGTCGGACCAGGTCGGACCTGTTCCTATTGCATGAACATCTAGAATAGCAAAGGAAATATAATCGTTTGCCACATTCCTTCAACCAAATGCACCAATTTTGATTATGTCTGTTTCCTTCCAGTCTTTGTCTTACTGTATAAATATTTTTGCCAGCGGCATAGTGTAGAGAGCATTTTTGTTATGGTCTTTCATTTAACATTTCATATTTTTCCATCTCCTATGTGGTTTTATAATTACACTTTTAATGACTACATTATGATGTATAATTGTACTTTGTGCTCCATTGTTGAGGGTTTAAATTGTTTTCTGTAGTCTTACAAAGAGTGCTAAATGTACATATCTATGCATATGCATTTTTCCTTTGACTTTACTATCATTAGAAATCATATGAAATTACTGGGTCGAAGAGTATGAACGTTTTTATGGCTTTCAAACATGAAGCAATTTTCTTTACTAAAAGGGTAATGTCCATCCACATCACTACCAGTAACATTTAAACAGGCCTATTTTAAATCATAACCTTGATGGTAATAGGACTCCTATCTTAAATACTGCTAATTTAATGGGAACAAAGTGATTCCTTGGTTTTAATTTATACTTCTTTGCTGTTGAAATGAGTCTTTCCCCATATTTGTTTAATTGTGTTGCCTTTTATGTGAATTGTCTGTATTCTTTGCATATCTGCTGGAGTTGGCATTTTTCTTACAAATGTATATGAATACTTTCCCAGGGCCACCCAATTTAACGCCTTAAGTTTAAACATGGTAATAAAAATAAAATCTAGCAAAATAAATTTAATAGGTACTACATAAGCACATGCCCAATAAAAGTAAGATTTTATAGTGCTTATTTTGTGCCAAGCACAATTCTAAGCATTCTACCTAACTCTGTGAAATATGTACTACTATATCCCCATTTTGTAGATGGAGAAACTGAGGGAAAAGCAATTCATAAATGTGTCCAGGCCAAATTCAGTAGGTAAGGCCGTCTGGCTCCCATGTCCCTGCACTCTTATTAATTAGGGGGAAGAATCAGGGAAGGAGGGCAGCAGGGAATACTGCCCTGAGAAGTGAATCAGATATAAGCATCCAGTCCCATAGACTCATGAAATATTTGAAACAGTATATTGGAGCCTCTTGCACCTTTGAACTAATTGCTCACTATTTTAAAGTGAATTGAGAGGTGAGCAAATGTAAGAAATAAACCTTTCTGTCACTATACGCACCTCATTATGTTAGGAATTGTTACCAAGGGTTTTTTTTTTTGAAGGTGTGTGTTTGCATTTTTCCATCTGTTTATCCTAGTGGGGGCTCCCTTTCTTGTTTGGGTCCAGTGATGATGCATATTCTCCTGTTACTTTTCCTGTCCATTTGTGCTGTTAAAAAATTGTCCCCTTTTCATGATTTTCATAGGTTTTATTTTGAATGGTGGTTCTTAGATCATAGAAACCCATTTTATTTGTTTTAGGTGGATTTAAGGGATTCCATTTTAGGGTGCTTCCAACTTATATGCTGAATAATAAATTTTCACAATGTGGGGTGCCAAAGTAGTATAAGAATTTAAATCTTCGCTCTGTGGGTGAGGAAATAGATATGCTGGGACAGACAGGCAGGCTGCTTTTAGTAGTGGAGCTTTATTGATTTAAATCATTTCATATGACAACGGTTGAATTCTGCCCAGAACCAATAGTGTAAGAAAGACTGTACATTGGGCTGCTTACCCCACTGCTCCTTCCGTACCCCCACCGTGCCTCATACATCCACCAGGTCGACAATGTGTCTTTATGAGGAAATGTGGACTGCTAAAATTGTAATCACAGACAAGCAAAAATCACACTGTCCCCTAATTCTGTTTCCATAACTACCATGTGTATTAGCGACTTGCAGTTGTAATCTGAAGGAGTTGTAGTGAACTTCTGCATTTTGAGTCACGGCAAGAATGACCCATCTCAGCATCGTCAGTTTGGAGTTTCAGTATAGTGTGGCAGAACAAGGGAAACTCTCTGGTGCTAGCTTCAGTCTGTTTCTAAGTAAAATATGGAACTGTGAAACCCTGGGAGATCGCTGTCCTTTAGTTAATTGGAGAGGAGCAACATAGGTGAGTATGGGGAGGAAGAAAGTAGAGGACCTCAACTCATCTCGGCTTGAATGAGATACCGAAAGTCAACATTCAAGCTAAGGATTTTGGGTGGCGCACTGATGAACTCAGTTCATCAGGTGTATTTTCCTGTTGCGTTTCTTTAGGATCCCAAGAAATCAGATTGTCTTGTATAGTTCAGCCGTCACAGAGAAAGGGCTGGGTATTTGTTATCAAAGGCAGTTTCATTCATCAGGTTGGATCTCTGCTGAAACAGCAGCCAGCTTTCAAAAGGGGGGCTACCCCGTTTCTAAACAGCATTTCCTGCAATGGTTGTAGACCCTCCCAACAGGAGTGATTAGGCAGCTCGCTGGCCAGCCAAAGCCCACCGCGGACCTACTCGTTGCCACTGACCGGAAGTAGACCTGTACTGTGCTTGGCCGGTGGAGCAAGGGCTGGAGTTGTTCTGATTTATGCCCTTGGCTGGGTGCTTTTGTGCAGTACATGGATTACAAATGTATGCTGTGACTTGAAAAAGACCCAGTAGTAACACAGCACAATAGGGGCAAGATGGTCCAGTTCAATTTTCACGGCTTCTAATGCAATTTACCGGTAACATATTTTATTTAACTTGAGCTTTCTAGGCTACTTGTTGTGGGTTGCATCTCTGTCTCCTTCCTCACTGTGTCACAAACACAGTAGACTCATTCTTGACTCTGTGCTTCAGCAAACAGTGGCTTCTCATTCCTTTTCACATGGCTCTCTCCAGCTCACCCTTCAGGCCTCAGTTTAGATGTTGCTTCTTTCAGGAAGTCTACCCTGATCTCCCGAGTCTGGAGGATTCCATTTAGGTACCCTCATTAACATTTTGAAAAGTTCCCCATCGTAACACTTAACACGCTACAATATTGTACTTTCTGTGTTCTTGTCTGCATGTCTTCATTAGCATATAAACTTCTCGAGGCAAGAAATGTGTTCTGTTCATAGTCGTATTCTGAAAATGTACCGTAATACCTCGCACCCAGTACACGTTGAAGAACAAATTCATAAATGCATGGTATGAATTTTTGTTGGTTGATGGACTCTGAATATTTGCTTTGGCTTTTATTGGCTGTGATAGGTTTTGCTGTTGAATGAGTCAGTTTGCAAATGCGAAAGGCAAATCCCTAGTTGAAATAGTGCAGCCAGCTATGGGTGTTTCTTGAGTCTCTTCTCAATTGGCTGGTTGACTCAGGAGAACCCACCTGGAGGGTTCTGCGTCATGTGACTCACCCAGGTGATGATTTCAGAGCCAGGGAGTGTTCTGATCTTGGAAAGACTGAATATGTACTAAAGCACACTAATCTTCTCTTGCCTTCTTTAGCACTGGAAGACACAACGCAGTGAGGAGTATGAAGCAGAAGGTAGGAACCGAGTGTGTCGGGCTCTGCTGGTCACAGGGCACTCAGACTCTACACCCCCTTTCCTGCAGCTCTCAGCCTTCTTCCCAACAACCTCACATGCTAGAGGCCAGCTAAGAAGTAACCCTAACAACAACAGCCATAAAAAATACTCATTCCTGGGGGAAAGTTCATAGTTTTAAAACCCTAGCATTTAACCTCATGCAAGGAATGGCAACTAAGATGTGGAATTTTACTTATGGGTCAATTACTCTCTTAAACAAACTTTGAAATTAATCTATGAGCAGTCCTAAACTAAATAGAGACCTATTAAAACGCACCCATTGACAAGTTTCAGATGGATTGAAGAAGCCGCAGAACATGTTGAATTTCTGGGGCCAGCAGATGGCACTGTGGTTCAGCTGCCAGAACCTTCTCCCACTTCTCAGGCTACCCTGGCGAAACTCCACTTAAGAGTAATTACTGTGTGTTCTCTAGGTCTCTGACCTGGAAAGACACAGCAGTAATGAGCTTAATGTCTTCAATAAATAGTAAGGGTATCACTAAATGCACTTCTCAGCCTCCTAAGGTTCTTCCAGGCACACAAAATTGTGCCAGTAATTATCTCATGATTGAGTAATGACTTTAGAAATCTCTAACACGTAAGTGAAAAATTTAACTTGAAGTGAGAACTTTGAATAGAGGCTAAATACATTTTGATTTTTAAATAAGTCTGATCCTTAAGCGTTCAAATAAAACCTATCCTTAATGTTAAATGATTAGTAACTTGCAATTTACAACCATTTATTCTTTCAAGTGGGTTTGTCTGTAGGGCAGGATATTTGAAGGTGTAAAGATTTGGAAACAGGATAATCCTGAGACTTTTATGATTATGTTATGATACTTATCATGAAATCATTTCCTTCTCAGTAAAAGCAGTTCTAGTGCTTCGACTAGAAAGAGCGGCAATAGAGACGTCTGGTAGCTGTAGTTGGGGCAGGGCATAGAAATCTCTCTGGACTGGCTCTCAACTAGCCTTCTCCCCAAGTCACACCGAAGCCTTAAGCCTGTGCTTGCTTTCAGTTGGAATAAAACAAACCTAGAACCTTGGTATGCCTGCAGAGGAAGTGTTTCTTGCATGGTGTAGAAAAAAGGTGCCTCTTCGCTCTAGTTGCAGCCCAAGAACCTGTGGTTCCATTTCATGTGAACTGCAGACTCAAATCAAAATGGAATCAGCATTGATAGTCTCTTTCCTGTAATACTGACTTTCAAAAAGCACGATTTTCTTTGAGGATAGGCTCTCTCTCTTTGTAATTCCTTTGCGGACAGCACAATAGATGTTTTTATTTCAGGTCAGTTAAGATTTTGGAACCCAGACGACTTGAATGCCTCACAGGGTGGGTCTTCCGCTCCCCAAGACTGGATAGAAGAGAAACTGCAGGAGGTTTGTGAAGACTTGGGGATCACCCGTGATGGTCACCTGAACCGAAAGAAGCTGGTCTCCATCTGTGAGCAGTATGGTCTGCAGAATGTTGATGGAGAGGTAAGTCTTGCCTCATATTTTTATTCAGAAATAATCATGATAACGTCTAGACTGGCCACAGGCTAGGAAGAGCCGTATTTTGGCTTCCTGCTGCATGTTACAGAGACTCCAGTCTCTTTTTTTTCCCTAGAAAGTAAGCCATGAAGATTCTTCCTGGAGAAGCTCATGTTGTGTTATGGAAAGCAAACAAAAAACAAAAAAAACCCTGACAGTAGCTGACACCTTCTGAGCCCCTCGCTGTGCTAAGCATGTTACCCCACGTCATTATCAGACATGACCTCAGTGCAGCCACGATGTCAGATATATTTGTAGAAGTGGCTTTCACAGAGCAAAATGTGGGAAAGACCCGGAGGACAGATTACGCAGGGAGCTGAGAAGATTGGAACTGGGCGAGTATTTCAAAGGCCAGGCTGATGAGTTTAGGTTTTTGGAGCGAAGATCTCAATATCAACCATAGAATGAGTAATATGTAGGACAAACTTTGATACTGAGGATGGTCTGAGCTGCTCTTGTGGGGTATATTGGTGTTGGGACAGCCTGTGGCTAGGGGCCCAGCCAGGAGCCATCAAAATATTCTGGTCATGAGGAAATGAAAAAGGGGAGGTTGGTGATTTTGAAGATATACAGAAGGATCTTGAAGGAGCCCCCAAAAGACTCCTGCTTGATAAGATTCTGAGCTTTGCCTTTTCTGAAGAATTAAGAGGGGAACTGGCAGGACTGGGTGCACGAATAGCCGTGAAACATGAGAATATAAATAATTCTAAGATTTGTCTTTCAAAGAGCTGAAAATAAGGAGGGACTCAGAGGTTAGGGCTGCAGTTGTAGTTGGGGGAATCTTTGATTATAATGTTACTTGAAACCATATTGTCTGCTTGCTCAGGGGCTAAGTGGTATTATTTTCCTAAGCCAGCTATTTATCATCAAAAGCTACCAAGTAGCCGAATTTGCAGAAAAGCTTTTCCCCTCCTTCTCCCTAGAATATGTGACTGTTCTGTACCCTTTGACTACCTTTTTAATGGCTCAGTGGTCATTTATTTTTCAGTGTTGGTTGTTGAGTCATAAAATTAAATTCATCCTCCTAAATTATAAACCAGTGCAGTATGCAGAACCTTGGGTGGTTTTGCCAAGAAATATTGCACACACTTGGATTATTTATCTAAGAGCAATTCTTGGAATAAACTGTAGCCATTTGCGGGGAGTTGCATTTTCTTCTGTGGTGGAGTTTCCAAAGCCCAGGAAAAGAAGTAGCACATTTAGTTATTTTCCTCTGATCCGAGGATGAGTAAAAGATTGCTCATTGAATGTAGCTTTTACTTAATGTTTCCTGCCCGCCAAAAAAAATCATGAAATACTCTAGTACTTCATACTACTGGCTCTAGACCAGAGAGGAGCTGAAAGTTCAAGATGATCTCATCACCCTGCAACTTGGGATCATAGGATTTCATGGCCGAAGGCAATTTTAGATTTTTAGACTCCTCATTTTATAGATAAAAAAGTGATGTCCCTGCTGCTTGTTGCCATTACCATGAAGGGGAACTAGATTCCCTGTCTCACGTACCCTGCTTTCCAGAAGCAAGGACAACTGTAGGGCGGGGATGGCAAACTATCGCCTCGATGCCAAATATGGCCCAAAGTTTTGGGGGTTTTGGTTTTTTCCCTTTGGCCTGCCCAATGTTTAAAACTTGAACTTTTGCTACACTTTTTTTTTTTTAAACCAGGAGATTTTTCTAAGAACCAGAATATTTGACTCCATTGTGCCAGCAGTGAGAGGTGGCTGGCGAGCTCCTTTGGACAGGGCATGCACTCACGTGCTCAGTTCCCTGCTTTAAATGGCGCCACTCCATGATGTCTCAAGACCACCCAGACTTATTCATCTACGTTGCCTTCCTGGCTTCTCTGGGTATTTGGGTCTGTTAACCCTAGTCTGGTACATCATTTCCCAGCTGACACACTGGGAGATCAACCATCCGAGACCCGGCTGGTGTGTCATGAGGAGTAAGAATGTCCTCAGGGTTCTAGATTTGGCTCCTGCACAGGGCCCAGGGGGGTGCCCCTGTTGCCCATTTGCCTTGCATTCTGTTCCGCCCAACCCTGCCTTCTGAATCCACAGCCATCTCTTCGCCACTTGCCCGCTCCCCTGTGTACAATTACTGGCAGGACTCACTTGCTCCGCTACTTTGAAGAGATGAGGTGATGGGTTTTTTTAGGCAGTCTGGAAGCACACTTGGCCAAGGTCACAAGTCCCCAAGCTCTGTGGAGCTAAGGTTAGAGCTGAAATAATGCTTGTTAACTTCGGTCAGCACACCTGGATTTACTGTGACTTCTGGCTTGGTGGTCCTGAAAGCCTAGTCCTCCAAGAAAGTGGTCTTCTGGTTGGTAAGAGTGAGACAGAAATGCTGAGGGATCTTAGCAACCCCAGAATCTCACCCCAAATACCTTTCCATTGGTTTTACCATTTAATTCTCTATTAAGAACTGTTCTTCTTCCAAAGATTCCCACTCTCTTAAAAAACAACAACAACAAAAAAAAAAAAACGGTTTCTTGTTTCGGAGATCTCTCCAGAGGAAGTGGTATTTAAAAAAAGGATAGAGACAGATGTTTCCTATTGGATGTGAATTGGAAAGAAGCATTTGAGATAAATGCCTCAGGCACTTCCATGAAGAATAAAATCAACAGTTATGAGACGACAAACCCTAGCAATAGTCCAGACTTATGAAATGAATAGTCAAAATTTGAAGATGTGTCACAAAGGGGCCTTTGTTAGAATGGACCCAGTTGCAGACTCTAATGCCTCATGAGTAATTTTGCTGCTTAATCGGTTTCCTTGCCCCTCAACAACATGCGCATCACCTGAGAGCTTGTCAGAGATGCAGAATATCAGACCCCCTATATCAGAGTCTGCATTTTAACAAGATCCTCAGGTGATCTGTACAACGGAGGAGTTTCTGTATAGAAAAACCTTAGCCCCCCCAGAGTTAAAGAGGAATCCAGCTGCCAGGAAAAAGGAGGTCATTGCCTTTCCTCCCTGTTTTGTGGTGTCAGTGACTCATATGCTGCTTTATTCATCCCTTTATATTCCTCTGTTGAGCTAGGGGACAAACCACCTCCTAGGCAAGCCTCTGGAAGGGACTATAGTCCAGTCTCTCCTTCCCCAGTTACATGATGAGGACTACTTGCTTATTGTTAGAGGGTACAAAATAGCCAGGCAAAATTCCCTTCTCTTTACATCTCTGGGATCCTTCCATTGGACACACACAAAATCTGTCTTATCTGATCTTCATTTCTCCTGTGCTAAAGCATTAAAACGAATAAAAACCGAAAACATGCAGTGTTGTTCCAAGTAGTGCTCTTAATCCCAAGTCCTGGGTTCTTAGATAATTGCAATCTGTCCCAGACTAAATTCTGCTGTGCTAACATACCAATTTCAAAAATTCAGTATAAGCAATATATCATGTAAAGTCCAGACTTTTTTTTTTTTAGAGAGGTAGGGGAGGGGCAGAGGGAGAGAGAGAGTCTTAATCAGGGTCCATGCCTAGTGTGGAGCCTGACGTGGGGCTCCATCTCATGACCCTGAGATCATGACCGGAGCTGAAATCAAGAGTCAGACGCTTAACCGACTCTGCCACCCAGGTGCCCCCAGTCCAAACTTATTTCTATTATTACAACACTGGGAAGCTATACCTTTATCTTTTTAAAGTAAATTTTTAGTCCATAGAATAATCTCTAGCAACATTAAAGATTACCCATTTTAAGAGTATGAATAAAAGAAAAAAACAGTTGATTGCTAAATTGCATAAGATTATGAAAATGGATGTTTACTTTGTGGAGGAGGAAGGATGTGTTACTGAAAAGGAAAATAAATTCAGTGAAATGAGAATAAAGGGACATGTTCTATTTCTGGAGCCTTAGGGTCAACAGTGGTGCCAATTTCTATTGGCCACGGATGTACTTAGGACCTTGTGTTATTACTGAAAGTAAGTGGTTACTATTTTCTAGATGCTTGAAGAAGTCTTCCATAATCTTGATCCTGACGGTACAATGAGTGTAGAAGATTTTTTCTATGGCTTGTTCAAAAATGGAAAATCCCTCACACCATCAGCATCTACTCCCTATAGACAGTTGAAAAGGCACCTCTCCATGCAGGTAAGAAATAAATCGGAAGTGATTTCTCCATGAGTAGAAGTTAAAACCCATTTGAAAAGCTTGTAATGAACTAACCTGTTGTCTGAAGAAGGAGAAGGAGAAAGAGAGAAGCAAAAAAAGAAAGACTAAACCACTGGGAAGGAGAAGTTGGGTTTGAAAAATGACCATAAATTACAGAGTGGGAAGCCACTAATTATGCCCCTTAATGTTAGCTGTGGGTCAGAAGAAACCTGGTGTTAAGTAGAGACACATCTATGTCAAGGGACTCGCTACCAGATCAAATGTTTTTGATGAGTTTTGCATTCTTGACTCACTTGGGAAAGAAAGATCAAAGGGGCTGCACGACTTGTTTTTCTAGTAGTGTTAGAGAGACATCTCTTCTGCTCATTGAGGTCAGGGCTGTCCAGTTTGGGTCAGTGTCTGGTTGAAATGCCTGACCTGGCTCAAGTCTCTTTCTTCTTCCAGTCCTTCGATGAGAGTGGCCGACGCACCACAACCCCATCAGTGATGACGAGTACCATTGGCTTTCGGGTCTTCTCCTGCCTGGATGACGGGATGGGCTACGCATCCGTGGAGAAAATACTTGACTCCTGGCAGGAAGAGGGCATTGAGAACAGCCAGGAGATCCTGAAGGTATGGCTGCTAACATGGGAGAAAAAGGACAAATTGGGCAAGGGCTGAAAAATTCCAGTGCTTTTGAAACTGATTTGATTTGATTTCTCCTTAATGATTCTTCTTTTCACAAGATCTTAGAGATAAGAGGTAACTTTTCTTACCCCATTTGACCAGGAGTCTGTTGCTAACTACTTTCCATGTTTCCATGTTTCCATTGACAAGTGCAATGCTCTTAACCGATCTCTGGTTGGTAAAGATTAGAGTCACACTATTGTATTTATTTGCAGTGGCAGATAGTATTTTTTTAAACATGCAAATAAGTACGTTGTTTCCTCAGAGAGATCTTAGATTGAAGATTGTCCCTAAGCAGTCACTAAAGAAATGTAATCATCCAGCTTCTTGACTATACATCCGCTTCTCGAGTTTGTATACCCTTCACTGCTTCCACTTTAGAGGACAGAACTTAACAATGGTCTTCAACTTGTTCTGATTTCTAGGCCTTGGATTTCAGCCTTGATGGAAATGTCAACCTGACAGAATTGACACTGGCTCTTGAAAATGAACTTCTGGTCACCAAAAATGGCATTCACCAGGCGGCTCTGGCCAGCTTTAAGGCTGAGATCCGACATTTGCTGTGAGTTGGGTAAAAGGTTCACCTGCCCCATTCCCTTTCCCACTTGTGCAACAAGTCCTTTAGATGCCTGTGATGCATTCTATAGGCAGATGTGGCTTGTCTCCTAGCATCTCACCACTGTGAAAACGAGGTAACGCTTAGATTTGTGTTAGGCTTTTGAAGGGAGCCATGGAAATGTCTTTCTGTTTTGGAAGGGTTCTGGTTGTCTTGGTTTTGGTTTTGTATTGAAGCAAGCCAGATGAGAGCTTTTTTGGGTCTCCTTGTTGCTTAGAGACAGTTTCCCTTGAACTCGGTCTATTTCTCATTCTAGGGAGCGGGTTGATCAAGTGATCAGAGAAAAAGAGAAGCTACGGTCAGATCTGGACAAGGCTGAGAAGCTCAAGTCTCTCATGGCTTCAGAGGTAGATGATCACCATGCGGCCATAGAGCGACGGAATGAGTACAACCTCAGGTGCGACTGATAGGGCCACGTCCCCTCCCTCCCACCACCCTGGCCCCTCGTGGTGGGGCTCAGCCTGCCTGCCTGGTTGGCCACACCTGGCTGGAGGGCGGTAGGTGTGGTCAAGCCTAAAGGAGAGCGGGACACATTAGATCCTTCAAGGAGCTTCCCATCTCTGTGACTCTCTGTTTCCATTTTTGGTGCATCTGCATTGGACCTCTGAGGGACTTGATGGCAGCTCGCTGGTCTTCCCTTCTCACAGGAAACTGGATGAAGAGTACAAGGAACGGATAGCGGCCTTAAAGAATGAACTCCGGAAGGAGAGAGAACAGATCCTGCAGCAGGTGGGCAAGCAGCGTTTGGAACTTGAGCAGGAAATCGAAAAGGCAAAAACAGAAGAGAACTACATCCGGGACCGCCTTGCTCTCTCTTTAAAGGTAATCCTCCTATTAGGTCTCTGGCCTGTGTCCCTGCTGGGGATACTGCCTGGAAAACTAGGGCTCCATAAGAGGATGGTCTGCACAGGGCTCAGTCCCAGGATTCCCGGAAGTTTGCCCTACTGAGTCATGACCCAGACATGGCGGAGCCCCTGCTGGGATCCAGGTTTCTGGTTTGCCGACAGGGTTGATTAGTGTATCTTGTTCTTCTTACCCCCCCAAGTTGCAGTGAGTCCTTAGGGCCCTTGGACACCTGGTCGAGGCCCTCTCTGTTCCCTGCCTCCCACCCCAGGTCAGAGCAGATGGCATTACCTCCTGCCCCACAGAGTTCAACAGTTTTGTTTCTTTGCTTCCAAATGTGTCTTTTGCCTTACACATCCTCCTCTCCTTTCCTGTGTCTCAGGAGAGGAAGCGATCTTTCTCTTCACTGGACTGTGGTACAATGTAGTCTAGAGATAAAGGGGGTCGGTTGTGGACTCAGTCTGCCTAGTTCCATTCTGGATACCACTCCATACTGGAACACCTTGATCACGTTATCCCAGCCTGTTTCCTTGCGTAGAAAGGAGCATATTTAAATATGTGGATTAAATGAGATGATACAAATGCAGTGTTTGGAAGGTAATAAATATACGAAGAATATTAACTGTTGTTCTTGAAACTCCACACATCAAAAACTGAGTGAATTCTCCCACCCTCACCATCAAATTGCTTCCTTTTCGGAATTTTCTCCTTAATCTACATCATGACCATGTGCTGTCACAGAAGCTAAAATTCTCAGTCGTCGTCACTCATCAGTCCCTCAGACCTGTCGATGCACTGAAAGGTCTTTCAGATTTATCCCCTTCCTCTCCATCTGCAACCTCTGCAGCGGTTTGGAATTCATCGGAATTTCTCAGCTGACCTGTGTGCACCTTTTCTTCCATCTCCCCACCGTCCCTATGACCACCAGAGTTACCTTACTGAAGAACTGACTGAAGAACACGCTGCTACGCTTTGTTAAAGTGCAGCGTGGTAGCACTGAAGGCCCCTGGAACGGAGCCTGGCCTCCTGCTTTTCCAACCGCAGGTCCCACCAGTAGCCTCCCGCCCCCCAGCCATGGCCCTGACCCCCACCGCAACTGCCCTCAGCTCTCTTGGTTCCTCAGCGGGCCTTTGGGCTCCTTCACTGCTTTCTCCAACACGGCAGACCATAGGACTCTTTCATTCCCATGATGCTTCCTTTTTTCTTGCCAGAAGAGAAGGCATCACAGATGATCGTATCTACATCTGTCTCCCTCCCCACGGTCCAGATTGTGTTTTCCCTGTGGTCAGCAACAGAATCTGATTGGTTAGTTTCCAGAGCACCAGCACAGGCCTGATACACAGAGATTGCGCCTGTTTTGACATCTAAATTTAGACATACTCTGAAAGATTAGAGTTTTAGAACTGGCATTTTGGGAGAAGGTGGTTGTTTTTTTTTTTTTTTTTAAAGAAAAAACTCTTTAAGCACATTCTTTTTTTATTCCATATTGGTATGTGAGGGTGTGAACTAGAATGTATTAAAAATATACTGGCTTTATATTCTTTTGGCAAAATATACTTTGAAAATAATGTTCTTCCAATCAGCCTTTAACACTGGAACAGAACATACGTCAAAATGCACGTCTGTGAGGTTTTATTTATTTTTTAAGCAAATGTGGGTAGAAATCTAACAAGTATTATATATACAGGAAAAAAAGCCATCTTTTGTGGACTTCAGTTGATGTGTTATTATAATAATTTAAACATACAAGTTATGAAAAACCTTTATGTGCAGCTTTTACAGCATCAATAAATAAAATTGATTTTCATTCTACTTTTTATACTTTTCTGAGTTCTCTTTTGCTATCAGATGAACAAGGTATCCTGCCACCAATTTTGACAATATTATTGAGAATGTTTTTCATGTCATTAAATATTATATTGCAATGCTATCCAATAGAAATACAATGGAAGCCATATATGTAACTTCAGATTTTCAAATGGCCGCATAAAATGAAACAGGTGAATGTAATTCTGAATTTTATTTAATTCAGTATCTCCAAAACATTATTTTGACACATAATCAATATACAAAAATTATTATTGAGCCATTTTACCTTTTTGCCTTAACTCCTTAAAATCTGGTATTTTATATACTTATATATGAGTACATCTCAGTTTGTACTATACACATATTTCAAGTGCTCACTATCCACATGTGACTGCTAGTCGCTGCCATATTAGCATCATTCTGTAGGATCAAAGAAAGAGGAGGCAGACTTTTGGGTTATAAGATAAATCTCAATTTTTTTATATTTACTTTTGTCCTCTCTAATCTACTGAAACCTTCAAGATGAACAAATTCTCTCAATCTAGAGCACGAATTTATGCATCCTATAAAAAGGTACAACAGTTTGCTTATTTTTAGTTCTGTGTCCATTTAATTTCCCCAAATTTCTTCAGGAAAACAGTCGTCTAGAAAATGAGCTTCTGGAAAGTGCAGAGAAGTTGGCAGAGTATGAGAATCTGACAAACAAACTCCAGCGAAATTTGGAAAACGTGTTAGCAGAAAAGGTAAATCTGTTTAAATTTGATCTCCTGACATGCAGCCCAAAGTGCAGTTTACTCAAAAGAGCAGAAGCAATGCCACCAAGGAAATGTCTATGAGGGAAATACTTAGATGGTTCAAGGAGGCCGTCGGTTTGGCAGGGATATAATTTCAGAGCTTGGATACGAAGGAAACATTGCCTAGCACTGAGACGTGATCCCTGCCTTAGTTGAACACATTGCTCTAGTATGTTCTTCCCATCATCCAGTTGGTAATGTTCTGCTTAAATGTCACATTCCTTTCATACTCAAGAGACCATAATCTGCATGAACACCAGTAAGTGGGGCCTTTGGTGGGTTAGAGGTCCAAGAGGGACACTTGGGGAAAATGAAAACTATGCCCTTTTCCTTTTCTAGTTTGGTGACCTTGATCCCAGCAGTGCTGAATTCTTTCTGCAAGAAGAGAGGCTGACGCAAATGAGAAATGAATATGAGCAGCAGTGCAGGGTGAGTGACTAAAGAGAACCTAATACGTGGAGGAGGGCCTGGGTTCAAATCCCACTTCACCATTTACTAGTGACCATAAGTAAGTCACTTAATAATCTGTGGGTGCCTCAGTTCCTCATCTGTAAGATGGTAAACATAAGGGTACCCGCTCAGTAGGTTGTTGTGAAGAGTCAATGAGTGAATATTTGTAAAGTGCTTAGAACAGAGTCTGGAACATAGTAAGCACTTAACCCAAATGTTAGCTGTTATTATCTAGTACCCCCAAAATATTAGGGAATCAGGCAAGCTGCATTTAAGTCTGCCTTATCTAGGTCAGAAATTGCTAGTGCTTAGAGGAGAATATAGTTTTATTCCAAGTGGAGAGATATGTAGTCATGTTGATGCCTTTCTTAATCAAACGCTGCAGACCTAATCTGATGTAATTTGCTTTTGTCCTGTGGTTTTTGGGTTTTTTTCTGAATACATTCCTTATTTTATTCACAAAATGCAAATAAAGCAAACCACTCCAGTCTTTAGCCAGTAAATCATCACAAATTCGTACCAAAACTGGCACAAAAATAGACACATAGACCAATGGAACAGAATAGAGAGCCCATATATGGACCCTCAACTCTATGGTCAAATAATCTTTGACAAAGCAGGAAAAAATATGCAATGGAAAAAGGACAGTCTCTTCATTAAATGGTACTGGGAAAATTGGACTGCTATATACCGAAGAATGAAACTCGACCATTCTCTTACGCCATGCACAAAGATAAACTCAAAATGGATAAAAAACTTCAGTGTGAGACAGGAATCCATCAAAATCCTAGAGAACATAGACAATAACCTTTTGACATTGGCCACAGCAACTTCTTTCATGACACGTCTCCAAAAGCAAGGGAAACAAAAGTGAAAATGAACTTTTGGAACTTCATCAAGATAAAAAGCTTCTGCACAGCAAAGGAAACAGTCAACAAAACAAAGAGGCAACCCACAGAATGGGAGAAGATATTTGCAAATGACACTACAGACAAAGGGCTTGGTATCCAAGATCTATAAAGAACTTCTCAAACTCAACACCTCAAAAAACAAATAATCAAGTCCAAAAAATGGGCAGAAGATGTGAACAGACACTTCTCCATAGAAGACATACAAATGGCTAACAGACAAATGAAAAAAATGTTCATCATTCTTAGCCATCAGGGAAATTCAAATCAAAACCACATTGAGATACCACCTTACACCAGTTAGAATGGCAAAAATTGACAAGGCAAGAAACAACAAATGTCGGAGAGTTTGTGGAGAAAGGGGAACCCTCTTACACTGTTGGTGGGAATGCAAGTTGGTACAGCCATTTTGGAAAACAGTGTGGAGGTTCCTCAAAAAATTAAAAATAGAGCTACCTATGACCCAGCAATTGCACTACTGGGTATTTACCCCAAAGACACAGATGTAGTGAAAAGAAGGGGCACCTGCACCCCAATGTTCATAGCAGCAACGTCCACAATAGCCAAACTGTGGAAAGAGCCGAGATGCCCTTCAAAAGATGAATGGATAAAGAAGATGTGGTCCATATATACAATGGAATATGACTCAGCCATCAGAAAGGATGACTACCCAACTTTTGCATCAACGTGGATGGGACCGGAGGAGATTATGCTAAGTGAAATAAGCCAAGCAGAGAAAGTCAATTATCATATGGTTTCACTTATTTTTGGAACATAAGGAATAACACGGCGAGGGAAGGGAAAAACGGGGGGGAAATCGGAGGGAGAGACGAACCATGAGAGACTATGGACTCTGAGAAACAAACTGAGGGTTTTAACACGGGGAGGGGGGTGTGGGGATGGGTTAGTCCAGTGATGGGTATTAAGGAGGGCATGTAGTGCACGAAGCACTGGGTGTTATACGCAAACAATGAATCATGGATCACTACATCAAAAATTAATGATGTACTATATGGTGACTAAGATAAAAAAAAATAAAAACAAAACAAAATTCCTACCAGAAAAGACAAAAATATCCTCATAAATAATAGCAATCTTTGATTTTTTTTTAAGTAACTCCTAAGTTTAGGAATTTGTGGGTTTTTTTCCTTAAATCACAAACACTTGTTGATTTTAACAAGGGAAAATATAATAGTTCTAACTACTTTAGATGAAAGTTGTACTCGTGCAGAAATGAAGAAAATAATCACTTCCTTATGAGGTTGCTTATAGCCTCCCTTCCCAGGAAATACACGTGCACATTTTGAGAAAAGAAATGAAACATTAATGCCACTTTTACAATTAAGTTTTGGCTCTTGGCTCTAATCACGTAGAGGTGTTTTCCTTATAGATCTTTAAAGTTATGATTTCTTTAGTAAAATCTGTCCTCTCCCCAAATTCCCCAAATCCCCCAAATCCATTCAGTGTTTTTTTAAAAATAGATTTATATACATTCATCCATACAATTCACCCATTTAACGGGTACAGTTCAGTATCTTTTAGTATATTCACAGAATTGTACAATCATTACCATAATCAAGGTTAGAACATTTTCATCACCCTGGAAAGAAACTCCCGTTCCACTTAGCTGTAATCACTCTCTAGGCAACTAATAATCTACTTTTTGTCTCTGTAGATTTGCCTATTCTTTACATTTCATGTAAACAGAATCATACAGTATGTGGTCCTTTGCCGCTGGTCTCCTTCACTTACTATAACGTTTTCATTGTTCATCCGTGTTGTAGCATGTATCAGCACTTCTTTTAATTGCTGTGTTATATTCTCTTGTATGGTTATACCACATTTTATTTATCCATTCACTAGTTGATGAACATTGGGCTTAGTCTGTTATGAATAATGCTGCTATGAACATCTGTGTGCAAGTTTTTGTGTGGATAGGTTTTCATTTCTCTTGGGTATATATCTAGGAGGGGAATTGCTGGGTTATAAGATTACTACTTTGGAGGAACCACCAAACTTTTCCCAAGGGGTTTGTACCATTTTACATTCCCACCAATATGAGAGTTCCAATTTCTGCACATCCTTGCCAACCATTGTTCTTGCTATGTCTTTTAGAGTCGAGCCATCCCTAGGGATTATGAAGTGGTAGGTGTTTTATTTGCCTTTCCCTGATGACGAAAGATTTTGAGTATCTCTTCAAGTGCTTTTCAGCATATCTCTTTTGGAGAAAGGTCTATTTGAAATCCTTTGCCTAATTTTTAAATGGATTGTCTTTTTATTATTGAGTTGTAATAGTTCCTTATAGATTCTAGTTACAAGTCCCTTATCAGACCACATAATTTGCAAACACTGTTTTGCCACTCTGTGGGTTGTCTTCTTACTTTCATGATATCCTTTGAAACAAAAGTTTTTAGTTCGGTGATGTCATTTACTTTTTCTTTTGCTGCTTGTGCTGTAAGACTGGTGTTGGTTTTTAAATTCGAGGTATTACAAGACCAGGTGGATGAACTCCAGTCTGAGCTGGAAGAATTTCGCACACAAGGCAAAGTGTTGAGACCTCCCTTGAAGACCTCACTATCAGAAGAACTTGGTGTTAACACGGGTTACGTCGAGCCTGACCAGAGTAAGCCATTCCGACATCATCTTTTCAGAGGCTATGCCTTTGGTTTTTACTGTTAGGGCCATGTTTGAATGTAAAATTGCACAACTTTGGCAACCAACAAAAACTAAACAGAAAAACCCTGGCAATATTTTCTTGAGCTATTTCACTTGTGGTCTGTTTTTTCATTTGTCTTTAAAGTCTTTATGAAAATATTTCTATCTGATTTTTATGTGTATCAGCAAAGGAATGGAAAAATCAAACCACAAGGATATTTGCTTTGTTTAAAAACAAAACAAAACAACAACAACAAAAAACCACTGGCCTCAAGTCTGAGAATCTAAGGCCTTGGGAGTGTGAGAATTCAGGCACTGAGCTCTTGCTGAATCCTCCCTTTCTTAAGGAGTGCCTCACGGGTATGGTGATAGCTTTGGAAACCAGGCCAACCAGAAATCAGGATTCAGTTTTCTTATGCCGGCTGTGTTAAATATCAGCATTGCCTCTGTAAAACAACAAGTAAATAGGTGTTGGTTGACTGTGCCTTTGAGGAGGATTTTGGGTGGCGAGGTGGAAAGGCAGAGTTGTTTGGCAGCTCTGCTGCATGCGTTATTAGCTCTTTTCCTCCCTCCTGCTATTCTGCCTCTTTCCTCCCTGTCCTGAGTTTGAATTTCAGAAGGGGCTCATAATAAATTCTTCTGTTATAGTCTTCTCCACTGCCACAGAAGTACAGGTTCTTACAAGGTTTGTTTATTCCTCTTCTTATCTATTCATTCTAGAATAAATAAGGGATTGGGGAGGGGACTGGGAGAGAGCTGAAGACCTTTCCTGTGGTTCTAAGTACACGGTCGGTAGCCTTACTGTAGTGTGAGGATGGAACCCAACGGAGCGTATGATGCATCTCAGAAGCTTTTCTGGGACTTTTTCTATAGTGTTGGGCGTCCTCCTCATAGGTGTGTGAAGCTGTGCCATCTTGGGTTGGCTTACACCCCAAGTATCTCTTCTCAGCTGGGGATATGCCAGCTGAAAAGAAAGAATAGATGAAAAGAAACCCCAACGCAAGACTCTCAATCTGACATGCCAGACAGGCCCTTTCTCCCATTTGCCTATCGGCCCCCACAGGAAAAACCTTTTTGAATTCCCTGCCTTCAGAGATTTCCACGTAGTATTAGACATCATTACTTTGTCTGTGTACTGACTCAGCCTCCAATTTATGCTTCACATTTCAGTGTTCTTCTCAGTTGCCATGATGGGCAGTTGTGGAAGTGAACCCATATGTATGAGTTGAGAATTTTTCTCCCAAACTGTCCATATCTAGGTTCCTAATCAATGCCCTATTTTTAAAATTTTAGCTGATAATTTAAAATGGGGTTCCACTTGCACTATAGGAAATCAGTATTATAATACTCAATCTTCTGTAACTGAGTGGTGGGTTTGAGATCTTGACCCATGAAGTTAATGCCTCCAGACATCTTCTGCCACGCTGCCCCTCTGCTAGTTTGTCTGATGGATAGAAGGCTGGTTGGTTTCACCAAATTACCTCACTCCACAGCATTTTCATTTAGAAGGTCACCTTTGAACAGTTTCCACCCCTACCCCCTACCCACCTACCCTTCAAAAAGATGGATTCTATTAAGGTTTGGCACAGAGTCTGCACATGAAAGAATCTTACCCTGTCCTGCCTGTTCACCTTCATTTTTAATGCTTGAAAACAAGAAACCTCTTGGCTTCTATGGTTTCCTAGTAGATCTCATTAGTAGTAATTTAGGCTGAAAATTTTTCCTTAGTTAAACTGGATGTCCCTCCTCAGATGCCAGTTGTATTATTGAAAGAACCTGCCGCAGGGTCAACAGATCCCATGTGTTTTCAGGGCTTGGTTCTGAAGAATGCAATCCATTGAATATGAGCATCGAGGCGGAGCTGGTCATTGAACAGATGAAAGAACAACATCACAGGGACTTATGTCACTTGAGACTGGAGCTTGAAGAAAAAGTAAGTCCTTCTTATCCTGTTCTCTCATTTCTTTGAGCTCTGACAAGCTTTTGCATGTAGGACATTCTTAATTCTTTTTACTCATAGAGCATCACCTTCTATACATTTCCTCTTGTGTCTGGAGGCTACTAAAAACCCCCTTCCTCATGATTTTTCGTAGGCTGAGCGTGAGGCCTTTTCCTCCTAGGAGAGAACTTCTCCAGAATGTATTTTCTTTAGCCCTAGTAAGCATGAAACTTGAAGGCCAATACATTATATCCAGCTGGTCCCAAAACATCTTAATAAAACCAAAAAAGCCCTTTGATATAGCTAGCATTAGGTACAAGTTCTGAATCTTGGCCTCCAAAACCCTCCACGACGTTGCTTCGAGTTATATTTTTTGTCTTCTCTCTTACCTTCTCCTCTTGTCAAACCAATAGTTCGCTGTTCTTCATCCAGCTGTCCTCTTTTGTTCATGCTGTTACATGCTGTGTGATTTCTCTCTCTTGAAAGTCTCCTTCCCTTTCAGAGTTTATATCAAATGCTACCTCTTGCATGAACCCATTCCTGAATACCCTTGACCAAATATGATTTTTTTGCCTCTTTGGATCTCCAGGTTACATCATCGCTCTCTGTTTTCTATACCTTTTATATTTTTCAGTCTGCCTTGTGGTATACTTGTTTATACTTGTCAAAACCATGTCTAGGGTAGTTTCTGCTGGATGGCAGGACTATATCTTACCCAATATTGTGTCCCCACAAGGCCCACAGACTGCCTAGGATAGGTGTTCAAGAAATATTTGAATTTAATTATTTTAAGGCCCTACATTTACAGTTGGACAGGATGCCTGGGAAGACAAATGGTATCTATGTGAAAGTCTAGTCATTTTTATCAGAGTTGTTCAGAAACTAATAAAATTTGGGGCACCTGGGTGGCTCAGTTGGCTGAGCATTGGACTCTTGATTTCAGCTCAGGTCATGATCCCAGGGTCATAGGATGGAGCCCTACATCAGACTCCCCACTCAGTGTGGAGTCTGCTTGAGATTCTCTCCCTCTGCTCCCTGCCCTTCGCCCTGCTCATGTGCATGTGTGCGCTCTCACTCTCAAATAAATAAATAACATCTTTAAAAAATAATAAAATTCAATGGAGTTAAAAAGGAAAGCAAACTATGCTTGGCTCAAATATATCTTATTTAACATGTTTTAAAGTTGTTAAAATGGAAAAACTGAAGAATGTCTCATGTCTCATAGGCAAAAAGTAGCTACGGCCCCTGTCACCTTTCCACGGCCTTGAGTTGAATAACATTGTGGTGGTTTTGCCTTCCGACCTTAGGTGGACTGTTATGAAAAGCAGCTAGATGAAACCAAGGTGGCCTGTGAAAAGGAGCAAGAGAACATGAAGCAAAAGTATGAGAATGAAGTGCATGTCTTAGAAAAACAAATAAGTGACCTTAAAAATGAAATTGCAGAACTCCAGAGCCAGGCAGTGGCGCTCAAGGAGGCACAGCATACAACCATGTGCAGACACGAGGATGAGAAAAAAGAACTGCAGAAGAAGTGGGATGAGGAAAAGACTCACCTGCAGGAGAAGCTGAGGTTGGAACATGAGTTGGAGCTCAAGGCTAGCCTAGAGCAGGCAGAGGAAAGCTTTAACAGAGAGAGAGAAGGACTCATGCAAAATGGCGCCTGGACAGAAGAGAAGGTGAGAGGCTTGACTCAGGAACTAGAGCAGTTTCACCAGGAGCAGTTTAAAAGCCTGATGGAGAAGCACACTCTTGAGAAAGAGGAGTTGCGAAAAGAGCTCTTGGACAAACACCAAAGGGAACTTCAAGAGGGAAGGTAAGAAAATTGGGGGAAATGGAGAAACCCAGGGCACTATACCTTGGGGGCACCAGAAGTTCCAGTCAATTAAGGAGACTTTGACTAGGCTCTTTAGTTGCTCAGCCCGTTTTGCCCATAGACATAAGCCTACCCTGGAGTTATTGGAACTGTTTTGTTTTTTTCAAAGACCGTATTTCTTATATCAACAAGTATCCTTTCAGGTTCCAGATGAGAATAATTGCTGTGTCCGAGAAACGCTATTTGTAAGCTAAATTCTGGGTAAAGTTCTATTCCTCCCCAAAGTGTGAAATGCCGCTTTGTGCTTACCTTCCTCACATGAAATCTCAGGTACATTTGAGGGCTTTGATGCTTCATTCTGTGATTAACTGGGTGCTGCTTTATTAAATAAGAAGGAAAAACGTAATGATTATGTTAATAGGTTTGGTTTATAGGACTACTGTCCTTCCAATGTATACTTAATTAAAATGAAGGAATTTTATATATTTCCCAAGTTAGGGATTAGGTTAATATGCGTTTGATCATTGATGTAAAATCAGCTTACATTTTCCATAAAGAAACACATCCCAGGAGTATGCCAAAGAAGTTGGTTTCCAAATTTTCCCTCTAAATGCAGAGAGGTAAGTCTTATAAATTAATTATGGCTGCCAGTCCTAGCTCTCAGAAATGAGATCTTGTCTCTCTTGAAATCGATTATGTATGAATAAGTGAAGGCCGTTTTTAGAAAGTGTTTAGATTGTTTGCCTGGCAACTTCTTCTGTGCATGGGGAACTGTTTTTTGTTTGCTTCTCGAGTTGGTGGCAGTTTCAGTAATGCTGTATGTTGACTACATTTAGGGAAAAAATGGAAACTGAGTGTACTAGAAGAACCTGTCAGATAGAAGCCCAGTGTCAGGCTGATTGTCAGAAAGTCACTGAGAGATGTGAAAATGCCCTGCGAAGCCTGGAGGGGCACTACCACCAAGAGCTGAAGGAGCTCCTGGAACAGCAGCTTGAGGAGAGATCCCAGTGGGAGTTTGAGAAGGACGAGCTCACCCAGGAGTGTGCAGAAGCCCAGGAGCAGCTGAAAGAGACTCTCCAAAGAGAGAAAGCCACTTCTCTGGTCCTGACCCAGGAGAGAGAGATGCTGGAGAAAACCTACAAAGAACATTTGAATAGTATGGTTGTTGAAAGAGAGCAGCTACTCAAAGACCTGGAAGATCTAAGAAACGTGTCAGAAAGTCAGCAAAGCCTATTGTCTGACCAGATTCTTGAGCTGAAGAGCAGTCGTGAAAGGGAGCTGAGGGATGGTGAGCAGGTCCTGTGCCAGGCAGGTGCCTCGGGGCATCTGGCCGGCCAGCCTCTGGAGAAGCTAGCAATGGAACGGGACCGGGAGAAGCAGGAGATGGTATCTGGGCTGCAGGCCGTGGAGAGTGTCCACAGAGTGACCTGTGAGAAAGCCGACCAAGAGAGGGCTGAGATGAGCACAGAAATCTCCAGGCTTCAGAACAAAATTAAGGAAATGCAGCAGGCATCTCCTCGGTCCAGGAGAGAGAGTGGCTGCCAGGCAGTGGGAGGGGAGGAGGCAGAAGGCAGTGGAGCCATGTCTCTGCTCCAGCAAGGAAAGCAGCTGTTGGAAGAGAATGGAGATGTCCTCTTAAGCCTGCAGAGAGCTCATGAGCGAGCAGTGAAGGAAAATGTGAAAATGGCCACGGAAATTTCAAGATTGCAACAGAAGCTGCAAAAATTAGAGCCGGGGTCAGTAATGTCTTCTTGTTTCGATGAGCCAGCTACCGGGTTATTTGGAAATTCTGTGGAACAAACAGAGCCCTTTTTGCTGCCAAATCAAATGAAACAAGTAGAAGGTGTAAGCGCACGGTGCGTCCTCAGTGACCTGCCGGATGATGAGGCCCCAGACCTGGGCAGTCCAGGGACGAGCTCTGCTCAGAGACAGGCGGTCAAAATGGAGGAGCCTGAAACATCCATGGAGAGTTTTTCCGAGCTCGAAAATAGCGAAGAGACCAGGACTGAGACCTGGGACCTGAAGAACCAGATTTGTCAGCTTAAGGGACAGCTAGCAATCCTGCGTGCAGACTGCAGTCGAGCTTCTGAAAAGAAACGGGACCTCCTTTTTGACGTCGCCGTGCTGAAAAAGAAACTGAAGATGCTTGAGAGAATCCCCGAGGCTTCCCCCAAGTATAAACTGCTGTATGAAGATGCCAGCAGGGAAAATGACTGTCTCCAGGAGGAGCTGCGAGTGATGGAGACGCGCTACGACGAAGCCCTCGAAAGTAACACAGAGCTCACTTCGGAAGTTTTCCAGCTGCAGCACGAGCTAAAGAAAGCGGAAGAGGCAGCGGAAACGTTCCTCAGCCTGGAAAAGAGTTACGGTGAGGTCAGGAGAGAAAACGAGGAGCTGCATGTTTTGGTTTTGAGACTTGAGGGCGCGCTGGAGAAGCTGCGGGCCAGAGCGGCACTCCAGTGTGACTGCTTCTTATGGGAAGCGCGCTTGGCTGAGCTGGAAGTCCCGCCTGATGGGAAGGTGCCTGAACCACATCAGACGCTGGAAGAGGGTGTGCCCGAGGTGAGGGACGTACACCGTATTATAGAAGAACATTATCAAGACAACCAGTACCTTGAGCAGGAGAATACACAGCTTCTGGAAAGAGTACAAGCACATGAAATTGCCTGGCTACACAGAAGAGTCCGGACACATGGAGAAAAGCCCCGAGTACAGAACCAGGTTTTACCGGAGGAAGAAGACACTGCCCTCCTAGGCCTTCAAGACAGACACCTTCCGCGTCAGGCCACGATAGCAGAGTTAGAACTGGAGAAAAAAAAGCTGCAGGAGCTGACCAGGAAGTTGAGGGAGAGAGTCACTGCTTTAGTTAAGCAAAAAGGTGTACCTTGTCAAGGAGAAAACGAGGAAGAGCTGAAGGCAATGATGCACGACTTGCAAATCACATGCAGTGAGATGCAACAAAAAGTTGAACTTCTGAGGTAACGTATATGCCTTCTAAGCTCCCTGGACTCCCAAGAGCACCTCACCACATCTAACTCCCACTGCTTGCTCTGCCTAGAGAAACTAACCTGTTAGCCTTCCAGAAGAGCACGCTACTGTAGACTTCCTTCTGCTTCTGTGTCGCATTAACAAATAGAATAACCTGGCCTAGGAGGCATTCCCTTCGTCTATGGGAGATAAATGTCGTTCGTTGGGGGTGTCATAAATGGAGAGTGTGTGCCATTTAACCATGTGCGTCATCAATGTACGTCAAGTCTTTAACTCTTTCTCTAGCGTTTCATTTGGATGGGTAGTTGTTTTGGTTTTGGTTTTTGCTAAATGTTAGTTATTTTCTTCATGTGATGGAACGTGTTCTATGAGAATGCCATTTGTTTATTATTAACTCACTTGGTAGATAAGAACTCTTATCCTGTACTAATACAGGAAAAATGTCATGCTTTGTGGCTTATAGTTTTTCACTTATAGCACTTGAAGTACATGCTGATATTCTGTAAACAATGAAAATTTATCTTAGAACGTAGAATTTTATTGAAGAGCTATCAGAGTCTTAATAAATGTGCTCAAAATAAAGATAAAAAATGAAACTAATTTGAACCATTGCTCACTTGACTTTATGAGTGCAGTTGTCTTCTAGCAAATTTGGTTTAAAAAAAAAACTTGTATCTTGATAGGAAACAAAGTAATTCTAGATGTGGTTTTTCCTCTTCAGACCATTTTTAGTTCTAAAAATCAGAATATAATGAGCTGAAAAAAGAATCACAAAGTAAACATGAGTGTACATATTTCAGTGTGGTCCTTTGATTTATGTACTGAATTCTCTTTCTCTAGGAGCCCTGAGGCCTGTAACTAAAGCTAATACAGCTTAGTATTAGGCTTATGCCTATCCAGAGCCCAGAGCAAGTAGGACTTGAGACTGAGATAAATGAAGTTATTTGCTCAAAGCAGTATGCTTGCCACTGAAAAAAATTAGCAACCATGGTGGGCAGAGTCTCAATTCTATCTCTGTGCTCAAGTGTTTTAGCCATACTTCCCTAACGTCTTTTTGTGAAATTCTTAACTTCCCCAAAGAAATGAGTCAATATGTCATAGCTTGACTTCCATTACTAAGAGTCTACTAATTTAGTCTTCTCTTTTTAACGGGCATGGACTACTTGTTTTATTGGAAGTTACTAGAAAGCATTTTCCAAAGATGCCAGATGACTGCCTTGTTATAACTATTTCTTTTAAATCTCTATAATTCAGATATGAATCTGAGAAGCTTCAAGAAGAAAATTCTATTTTGAGAAATGAAATTACTACTTTAAATGAAGACGATAGCATTTCTAACCTGAAATTAGGGAAATTAAATGGATCTCAGGAAGAAATGTGGTAAGACATATACTTACATTTTCTTCAGGCATTTTTGCAAGGACTAAAACTTTTTCTTCAACTTTTAAAGCCTAACTCTTAGGTTATATTTTCACTGTCCCTTTAGGCAAAAAATAGAAACTGTAAAACAGGAAAAAGCTGCAGTTCAGAAGATGGTTGAAAATTTAAAGAAACAGGTAAGGAGATACTTAGTATTTCCCAGTGTTTCTTGATTCTGAAATTTTCTTTATTTGTAATTTATAGCACATGCTACTAGAATAGCGTGTAGCTTATGACGGTAAAGTTGTAAATCCGGAGTTTCAGAATGCACCCCATGCTGACTCTAAACTAGGTTTCTATATTTTGGTGACTATCATAATGTATATACTACTTCTAGATTCTGAGTGCTTAATATAAGCTTTATAATCAGTGGGAATGGGGAGATGATACCTCTAAAACTGTATCTGTGAAATACTAGCTCTATCCCTCACATTCTTTCAAGTAATCCTTCCTCTTTTATCACCATGATTGAAACCAGAAAGTTAAGGACACAATTTCATAGATCTAGAGTAGTGGTTCATCAGTATATCTTTGCATAGAATTGCAGTGTATTCGGATAGCTTGTGCCATTTGGCACCCAATTTGTGTAATCTCACAACATGCAATTGTGCAGAGAAACTCCATTTAAGGAGTTTCTGAATCTCTCTGAAACAGCCGAAAGACAAGGACATCCTGGGTAAAGAGCATTTTCAGGACTTAAAACAGACAAGGTCTTAACATCCAAAATATATTCTGTACTGTTACAAATAAATGGCAAAATCCAGTTGAAAAACAGATAATTGGTTTGAGTAGTCAAGTAAAGGAAAAAACAAATACAACGTATAAAAAGCCTAATTAGGGAAGTGCAAATTAATTTTCCTTTTTTCATCTTTCAGATTAGCAAAAATTAAAGATACCGTCTCTTCTTTAAAAAGGGGTGAAGAAATGAATGTACTCATACATTTTTGGTAGGAATATAAGTTGGTAGCGCTGTGAGGAAGACACTTTGGGGATATCTATCAAAACAGTGACGTGTATGCAGACCTCCTAACCCAGCAGCCCCACTTCTAAGAAAATGATCCTAAATATAAAGTGCTACCATGTATAAATGAATTTTTCAAAAGATTGTTGTGTTTCTTCATAATGAAAAGAATGATAACAAACCTATATGTCTGTCAGTGTGGGAATGGATAAATATGTTATGCATGTCTTGACACAGAATATGCTATAGTCACTAAAAAATACAGCATGTGCTGGTTTCTGAATGCACTGACTTAGATGATAAAAGTCTGTAAGATATAAGTGGGAAAAGCAGGCTGTCCAAACATCTGAAATGATTCAAATTTTTGTTTTAAAGAGGAGAAAAAGGGCGCCTAGGTGGCTCAGTTGTTTAGGCGACTGCCTTCAGCTCAGGTCATGATCCTGGAGTTCCGGGATCGAGTCCTGCATCGGGCTCCCTGCTCAGCAGGGAGTCTGCTTCTCCCTCTGACCCTCCCCCCTCTTGTGCTCTCTCCCTCTCTCAAATAAATAAATAATACTAACAAATCTTTAAAAAAAAAAAGAAAAACCTCTATGTGCATATGAGTTTTATATATACATAGAAACCAATCTGGAGGGATACAGACTCAGCTGTGAACAGTGGCTACCGCCGTGGAGTTAGGCTGAATCAAGGGTCTATCACTTCTCCATACATTTCCCAATTGATGGAGTTTGTACTAATGAGTGCTATATTAGTTCTATTAGTAAGGATGTGTGTGTGTGTGCGCGTGTACGTATCTAACGTATAAAACCTTATCTACAGAGGGGGAAGAACCAGTTAGTCTCTATTATCTGTTTTTTAGTAGAAGTAGGGTAACTTGTTTGTAAAACTTATTTCAATTTTATTTTTTTAATTTTTTTTTACTGAGGAACTAATTTTAAATTTTATTTAATTTTAATTTTTTTAATTTTTATTGTTATGTTAATCACCATACATTACATCATTAGTTCTTCATGTAGTGTTCCATGATTCATTCTTTGTGCATAACACCCAGTGCTCCACGCAGAATGTGCCCTCTTTAATACCCATCACCAGGCTAACCCATCCCCCCCACCCTCCTCCCCTCTAGAACCCTCAGTTTGTTTTTCAGAGTCCATTGTCTCTCATGGTTCGTCTCCCCCTCCGACTTACTCCCCTTCATTCTTCCCCTCCTGCTATCTTCTTTTTCTTTTTTTTTTTTAACATGTTGCATTATTTGTTTCAGAAGTACAGATCTGTGATTCAACAGTCTTGCACAATTCACAGCGCTCACCATAGCACATACCCTACCCAATGTCTGTCACCCAGCCACCCCATCCCTCCCACCCCCCACCACTCCAGCAACAGTTTGTTTCCTGAGATTAAGAATTCCTCATATCAGTGAGGTCATATGATACATGTCTTTCTCTGATTGACTTATTTCACTCAGCATAACACCCTCCAGTTCCATCCACGTCGTTGCAAATGGCAAGATCTCATTCCTTTTGATGGCTGCATAATATTCCATTGTGTATATATACCACCTCTTCTTTATCCATTCATCTGTCGATGGACATCTTGGCTCTTTCCACAGTTTGGCTATTGTGGACATTGCTGCTATAAACATCGGGGTGCACGTACACCTTCGGATCCCAAACTTATTTCAATTTTAATTAGATTGCAGAATTAAAAACCAAAAACCAAGAGTTGGATTTGGAAAATACAGAACTTAGCCAAAAGAACTCTCAAAATGAGAAGGAACTGCAAGAACTTAATCAACGTCTGGCAGAAATGCTGGGCCAGAAGGAGGAAGAGCCGGGACCCAGTGCATTTGAGGAGTGGAAACAAGGAGAGTCTCATCTGAAAGAAGAACTGGAACAATGTAGAGTGCAGGTATGGAGGAGAGCCACCCTACAGCCTTAGGGGAGGAAATCCCAAGAAATAAAGTGATGCTGGTATTAAATTTCTTACATGCAAAGTCTTAATAATTAAAACATGTGGTACCAGCAAATGATTAGGCAAATAGATACATAGAATAGAAAGTCTAGGATTAGACTCCAGCACAGATGGAAACTTAGTGTATAACAAGGTACCTTCTCAAATCACTGGGGTAAAGATGAATTTTTTTTAATATAGTCAGTAGACATTTGGGAATAGATAAAATGAGATGCATATCTTGTACTGTACATAAGGATAAACTCTAATTGGATTAGGAGTCTAAATATAAGAAACAAAACTACATAAGTACTAGAAGAAAACATGGATGAATTTGTCTTTAACCTTAGTGTAGAGAAAAGTTTTCCAACTGTGACTCAAACAAAAGGGAAAAAAAAAAAAAAAAAAAAAAAAAAAATTTTTTTTCATGGCAAAAAAAAGAACCACAAAGTCAAAAGATAATTCACAAACTGGGAGAAAAATATTTACATCACATACCACAGAGAGTAGGGCTAATATCCCTACTATGTAAAGAGCTCTGAAAAATCCATGGATTTGGGGCACTTGGGTGGCTCAGTCAGTTCAGTGCCCTCAGCTCAGGTTATGATCCCAGGGTCCTGGGATCAAGCCCCGCATCAGGCTCCCTGCTCAGCTTCTCCCTCTGCTTCTGCCTCCTTTTCCCTCTCTCTCTCCCTCCCGCTCCCTCTGCTTATGCTCTTTCTCTCTCTCTCTCCCCCCACCCAGTCAAATCTTAAAAAAAAAAAAAAGATGCAAAATTATTTTTAAAAAAAATCCCTGGACTTAGGACCAAAATCTGATAGCAAACTGGGAAAACACATGCATAAATAATTCACCCCCCCAAAAAAAAGAGAGATAAAAATGGCCCTCAAGCCTGTGGGGAAAAATACCCAAAATCGGGACACCTGGGTGGCTCAGTTGGTTAAAGTGTCTGCCTTCAGCTCAGGTCATGATCTCAGGGTCCTGGGATCAAGCCCCATGTCGGGCTCCCTGCTCAGTGGGGAGTCTGCTTCTCCCTCTGCCCACTCCCTGCTCATGCATGTGCGCTCTTTCTCTCAATCAAATAACTAAACAAAATCTTAAAGAAAAATGCCCCAAATCACTCATAATCAGAAAACTGCAAATAAAAACAACACTGATACATCTTTTCTCACCTATGAGATTGGAATAATTTAAAAATAGAGGACTTTTTGTTGGCAAGGCTTTGGGGAAGCAGGCACTTTTATACATTGCTGGTGGGGGTGTAAACTGATGTTATCCTTCTGGAGGGAGATTTGCCAATTCTTCAACAGAATTACGTATGGGCTTACATTTGTCCCAGCAATACCATTTCTAGGGATTTACCCTAAAAGTACACTTCCAACAATGTGAACATTCATAATGCACAGAGCTTGGAAACAACCTAAATGTTCATATGTAGGAGAATGGTTGGATAAATGTGGTGGATACAGTCACACCGTATAATAGTATTATGCAGCTATAAAAGGAAGGAAGGAAGGGAGAGAAGGAAAGATAGACCTCTACCGATATGAAATTATTTCCAGGACATATTTTTTTTTTAAGATTTTATTTATTTATTTGACAAAGGGAGACACAGCGAGAGAGGGAACACAAGCAGGGGGAGTGGGAGAGGGAGAAGCAGGCTTCCCACTGAGCAGGGAGCCCGATGTGGGGCTCCATCCCAGGACTCTGGGATCATGGCCTGAGCCAAAGGCAGATGCCTAACAACTGAGCCACCCATGCGCCCCTCCAGGACATACTGTTAAGTGAAAAAGAAAAGCACAAAAGAATATAGGATGCCTCTGTTCATGTAAGAGAGAAAGGGACATAAAAAAATACAAATATACTTGCACATTTGTGAGAAAGAAACCCAAGAATGATAAACCAGAAACTAAAGACATGGTTACCTACAGTGGGTAGGTGGGAAAGGGATGGAAAAGAGGAATGGGAATGGTGTGAAAGGGAAGAAGGAAGGGAGTATATCTTTTCACATAGCTCTGACTCATAGAATCATAGCAGTGTTTCCCATACTCTTCACATACCCCAAAATAAACACAATTATAATCAATCAAGATGGCAGGGGATACCAACATGGAACACAAACACTAAGAATTGAACCTAACTGTATTATAAATGGATAATGTAATTACAATGGGGAAGAAAATAATTAAGTCATTTGGAAATTATTATCTGACTCCATACTGTAGGTCTAAAGACAGAAAGAGGTATACACAAATGCTATAATAATCTAGCCCGTAAATGTGTTTCTCATGGGGGATAACTTAGTAATTCTGAAACTGTGTATATTAGAATTGAATAAATAAGTAAATAGATTATAGGCAACAGAACAGAGTCTCTCACTGCCGGAGAAGGAAGCTTCAAGGAGGAAAATGAGGAAACTAAAAGGAACCTTCTGGTGTTGGACTGGAATTTGAGGCATTAGTATAAATTCATGTTTCTTTATATACACATTGATACAGAGATAGAGATGTGTGTATATGGATGGAGTGCCCAAATCTTGGTTTCTAAACACCATTCTCCTATAGAAGAAACCAGGGCTCCTTGGAAAAATTATTGATTCCAGGCCTGGAGCAGGGAAAATTCAGGATGAGCCCAGATCACCTCATGGTGCCAGAAAGAAAAAAAGTGTTAAAAAAAGATGGGCGCATGAAAAGGACACAGAGCCCCACGTGAAGGAGCTCCTAATGGCCAAAGCTGGAATGGTTTGACCAACAAAATAAATAATTCCAGTATAGCATAAGATAAATATAAAATGAAATAAATATGTATGGGCACATCCTGATATTAAAAACTGATTAAATGGGGAGAAATAATAGCTCTTCCTCACAGTAGAATTCTGATTAATGAATGTAGAAAGAAAGAAGGAAATAGAAAGTCATTGGGCAAACACGAGGGTAATAACTGTCATAGACAAAATCCACTGATAGAAACTAAAATAAACAAGTTTCAGGAGGAACACAATTTTCGTAGTCTCAAACTATCTCCCCCAAGAGAAAGTAACTTTGCAGTGGAGAAACCTGCAAAACCCACCTGAGAAATCATGTTCATAGCGTTTGGGTGCACAACAGTCTTTCAAGAGATAGCTTTGGTTCGTTTCACTAAGGATAATGGTCATAAAAGAGCATGTCACTGAATTGGGGCTAGGGTTTCCTGACTTACTGCTGTTTTGTGAATCTAGTAAGTTTTCCCAGGCTATGTGAAGATGTCTGTGACTTGACTTTCTAATTTTTCTTCTTAGTCCTCTACTTTAGTGTCTTCTCTGGAGGCAGAACTATCTGAAGTTAAAATACAGACTCATATTGTGGAACAGGAAAACCTCCTTCTCAAAGATGAACTGGAGAAAATGAAACAGGTAAGAAGACTGTGCTGCTTGGAGTGGGTGTCAGGGGGGAGGCTCATAGAACAATATGGTACCTGATGGTCTGGCTTTTCTAGCCACCAAATGTCCTTTATACAGACTCCCGTCAAGTATCTTATTGCTCTTAAAACTGAGGGTTTGCAGGACAGGCCCACTTATAGGGCTCCTATTGCTAATTCTCTAAATGCTGTTCTAGTTGTGTAACTTACATATGTTGTAGACTGAAATTCTATTACTATAAATCAGTCACAACCACTTCAGTTTAAGAAATTTGTTGTTCTGCTTTCTTCTGGCCAAGTGATAAATATAAGTGTCTAAAAAGAGTGACTTTCTTGCTTGTAACTTTAATAACTATTCATCTAGGTTTGTGAGACACAATTCTTATAGCAAGTTTGAGGCTTCTATCCTGGGCTAAAGAGTAAATTCTAGAACATAATCAGAGATGCAGTCTCACTTACGAATTTGGCTTTAAGAAGCCTATTTCAAAGTTTCAAACAAAGACTTAATTTTAAATATAAAAGAGGGTTCACCTTAAAGTTATATCCTGAACGTTGTCCTATTTTATTCTTTATTCTGAACTTTTCAGTGGGTACAGGATTTGAGCAATCCTGATTTATGAATAGAATTTAGTACTTTTTTTTATTTGCTTCACCAAAGGTTTACTTTGATATTATGACATCCTTAGATTATAAAATTATCTCGCTTATCTGTTCAGCCTATGAGCATAAAGGTGTCCTCTGAATGCTGAAATATTGAGTCTCTACCACTGAGTTTTATGTTTGTGTTGGTCTGTAGTTGATTCCTATACATCTTGATTTCCTAATAGGATTGTAAGACTTCCGGGGAATTTGTGTCCCTTGTAATGCCTAGCGATTGGTACCTGATAGGAGCTTTATAAGAACCTTTTCAAGTCAGATGCTGCTTTGCAAAGTATATCTCTTCTGCCATAACAGAAACTGTCTGCCATTATCAACATTCCAGAAGTTAAAACTCATAGGGCCTTTCTGTTGGTGCATAAGTATTCCAAAGCTGTTATTACCAAGTTCATCCTAATTACCATGGGCATATTTTTCTCCTTTACCTTTTGAAAATCTGTTGTTCAGTCTTTAAGATGTTTAATGATGGAGTCCAAATCCACAGCATGAGAAGTGTGTGTTTTGTGACTTCACTAAGCTAGAGATCAGAAGGAAAGGAGTGCATCGGGGAGTAAAATAGCATGAGGAGGACATCATTTGGTACATTTTTATTGTGTAATTTTTACAGAGGTGTTGTTTATAAATAGTGAAATGGAAAAATGGTGAGCCCTGTCTGCCTTTGGTAGAAGTTGTATCATGGCACCTGGACTCTTTTGGATTACAACAGTGGGATAGTATCAGCCCATTGTTGCTGCCATATAGCTTGGACCTAGGAAGTATGTGCTGCTGTAGGATCCAATACAAGTAAAAAGTACTTTGTGAATGAGAAATTCTCTGTTGCACAGAAAAGGAACACGAGTAGCATCAGCAGAAGTCTCATGCCAGTCTCTACACCCAAAATGGTACCAGGCTTTATGAGGGTCTGGGGTTGAGGAAGCAAGGTAGTGAGCAAAGGAAACAGGTCCTTTAGTAAACCAAAGCCCAGCTACTTTAAAATACATTTTCCTATGTTCTTCTGACTTTAGTTTTGCAAGGTACGCTGGATTTGTTGTCAGTTGAAGATTCAACCCTTAGAGTCTATTTTGTCATATTACTCTTAAAGCTAAATGTGAAAGAACGTAAGGTATGAAGTAGAAAGATGGCCATAAAATCATAATGACTAATAAAGAATTGAAGATGTGAAAGCCAAGTGAAACAGAGGGAAATTAAAAATGTAGGAACTATGGGAAGGGTAAAGAAGTATAAGAAACAATCAGTCTCTTTGGAGCAGTCATTGGGGGAGGTGGGAATTACTTCCCCACCCTGGGACATTTAGCAATGTCTAGGGCCGTTTTTGGTTTTCACAACTGGTGTGTGGGGAGGGGAGTGCAACAGGCATCTAATAGGTAAAGCAGAGATGCTGCTAACCATCTTCCAGTGTGCAGGACAGACCCCCAAAACAAAGAATTATCTGGCCCAGAATGTCAATCCTAGTTAGGCAAATGTTGAAACGGAACAGGAACTGTCTTTGGTTTGTCTTGATTCCAGTAGAGAGGAGGAAGCCAGTGTGTCCACATTTAACATTTTCCTAAGCAAGTCAGTTTTGGCCTCTTCCAAAGGGAAGGGCACATGGAACAAACTGAAAAACACTGATTGTTTTAGCTTGAAAACTTGCCCTTGTATTGATTCACTGTGCTTGGTTCATGCCAATTCTATAGTCTTGACTGAGATTTCTGAAAAAGATTTTTTTCCTCGTTAAAAAAGCCTGAGGAAAATGTATTGTGCTGTATTGTACACAAGTTAAATAGATGACAGAATGGCAGTATGTTACTTATTTTACCCTGAAGGTAAAACAGAAAGCGAGGACCATTATGTAACGTGTCTGTCTACGTGAATCTCTCTGGGCAGACATTTTGGCAGTCAATTGGAGAATGGAGAGAATGTAGCAGGGAACATTTTGTTAAATTTAATTTTAGTCCCCTAGAGTTTATATGTCCCCTGAAATATCTATGTAGATAAGGAAGTAGCAGCAACCATGAAAATGCCCTGTTTATAAATACCTTTTATAAATACAGCCATGAGATGTGATGGGATTGTTTATCTCTTACAGCTGCACAGGTGTCCTGATCTCTCCGACTTCCAGCAAAAACTTTCTAGTGTTCTAAGCTACAATGAAAAACTGCTCAAAGAAAAGGAAGCTCTGAGTGAAGAATTAAATAGCTGTGTGGATAAGGTAGTAAACATAAGACTTTTTAACCATTATTGTATAGTGTATACCATAATGAGCATTTCTCTGTACAGTGGCATCTGGGCCTCCCATTTTAGCCTAATTGTTCCAAGCCTACTGTCCTAGTAGAACAACATTTCAGCTGGCCTTATGTGACCTAAGAATTCCGGAGGTCATGATTTTGACAGGAGTGTACATTGGTTAATAATTATTATATACAATAATATATAGTTTATCTCATTTTAATATATAACCATGTTACTTAATGTATATTATTTAAACATTTATTTATTATTGAGAGAAAGCACGAGCAGAGGCAGGGGAAAGGGGGAGAGAGAGAGAACCTTAAGTAGGCTCCACCCCAACCTGGGCCTCGATCTCACAACCCTGAGATCATGACCTGAGCCAAAATCAAGAGTCAGACCCTTAACCGACTGAGCCACCCAGGCGCCCCTTAATATATATTATTAAATATATCACTATTAACATATAATACAACTATGGTTGCTTTTAATAATCTGAGACCTGTTACATAGGCACTTTTTTTATTTTCCCTAGCAAATCCCCAAACACTGCTTTTGTCCCACCTGCCTTGATAGGTATTCCATATTTTCCTATTATGGTACTCTCTTGAGATTGGGTGGGGGGAGGTTATGGGGAGGGGAGAGGCAGAGAGAGAATCCCAAGCAGGCTCCATGCCCAACACGGAGCCCAACTTGGGGCTCCACCTCACAACCCTGAGATCATGACCTGAGCTGAAATCAAGAGTCAGACACCCAACCGAATGAGCCACCAAAGGGCCCCTTGAGATTTCTAATTGCCTTCCAACCTGCCATTTCTCGCCCACAGTGAGGCAATGAGAGAGAAAAATGGAAATTGCCAAAAAGAAGAGATTACTCAAAATTAAAGGTAGAAAGGGAGTCAGGAAAACGTCTTCTTTTTTTTTTAATATTTTATTTATTTATTTGACAGAGTGAGAGAGGGAACACAAGTAGGGGAGTGGGAGAGGGAGAAGCAGGCTTCCCTTGGAGCAGGGAGCCCGATGCGGGCCTCGATCCCAGGACCCTGGGATCTTGAGCTGAGCCGAAGGCAGATGCTTAATGACTGAGCCACCCAGGTGCCCCAGGAAAACAGCTTTCTTTTACCTTGCCCTGCTCCCCCATGTAAACAGTTGGTGCTTGATCTTTTCAGCATATACAGAGGTATAGAAATTTTGAGGCTAGATATGCGTGCAAAAATGCCCTGTTCCCTCTTTTCTTTTCCTGAAACAGTTGGCAAAATCAAGTCTCTTAGAGCACAGAATTGCCACTATGAAGCAAGAACAGAAGTCTTGGGAACAACAGAGTGAAACCTTAAAGTCCCAACTCGTGGCTTCACAGGAAAAGGTATGTGGCCAATTCTTGTTTCATCTGCCTAGTTAATATTTTCCTGGATATTCCAACAGAACTCCCAGTAGAAAGAATATTCCAGGTGGAATTGGCCTAAGAGGGCTCAGAATGATTCAACTTGACTAATACCTGTCACATGCTTATAGTATGATGAAATAATTTGAACAGTTCCCTCAAAGCTCGTTATTAGAATTATGAGATTATCTCATCATTATGAGATTACTTATGAAAGCTTGAGAATAATGTGTAGAAAGGACTGCTTGTTTCTCATTTAGAAAAAGGGTTCCTAAGGCAGATTCATGCCCTGTTAAAGATCTCTATCAACCTTACTTTTACAAATTTAAATTATTTTTAATTAAAATATATACTAGATGTTAGCATGGAGTAGGGTTCTGACAGCTATATATTTTCATTTTTAACTAAGAAGTCCTTTACAAACCAACACCACTGGCTAAAACACAATTTCTACAAAATTCAGTAAAGCCATCTTCTGTCATGCCATTTGGTTCTCATTGGTTCTGTAAGATACCACTTGCTAATATACCAGATGACTGTATCAGCAAGACCCTGTTCCACATCACTGATCTAAATATGACGTTCTGTAAATATACATAATATCTGGGGTTTCCACTGAGCTCCTAAAAAGAGCTGTATATAAATAAATAGAAGAGACCTTGGAATTCTCTTATCCTAGCTCATTCATTCCTGGACGTGCTTTGGTGAGACCATGAGGATCTGTGTCAAGTGTAAGATTGTTCTCATGATGCAGGTTCAGAGTTTAGAAGACACCCTGCAGAATGTAAACTTGCAAATGTCGCTGATTAAATCTGACCTACAAGTGACTCAGCAGGAAAAGGAGGCTTTAAAACAAGAAGTGATGTCTTTGTATAAACAACTTCAGAATGCTGGTGACAAGGTAATTTCTTTTTTATTGAGGTATAACTTTATACAGTAAGGTGCACCAATTTTAAGTCTATAACTTATTGTTATAGATGTATATGTATGTTTACATAAATGAACAACCTAGGGGTTAGGAGCTCCGACCCCCTGCGCAGTCAAAAATCCACATATAACTTCTGACTCCCCCAAAACTTAACTATTAATCATTAAGACTACTGTTGACTGGAAGTCTTATCAATAGTATAAACAGTTAATTAACACATATTTTGTATATTGTATTCTTATTGTATACTGTATTCTTACAATAAAGCTAGAGAAAAAATCATAAGAGAAAATACATTTACAATACTGTACTGTATTTATTAAAAAATCTGCATATGAGTGGACCCGTGCAGTTCAAACCTGTGTTGTTCAAAGGTCAGCAGTATATTTTACATACCTATCTATGTATGTGCGTATGTTTATATTTGTGTGAACACCTCCTAGCTCAAAATATAGACCAGTTCCAGCACCCAGCAGACTCTCCGGTCTCCCCTCCAGTTGATAACCGCAAGGGAACCACTTCTCTACTGTCTGTCATCGTAGGTTAGGGATGCTTATTTCTGAACTTCATATAAATGGAACCACAGTGACAAGGTTATTTTTTGTATTGTGCAAGACAGCAGACCATGCTGAGTTATTTTGTAGTAATAAAACTAAAACATTTCGATATTGTATAAAATGTGTCTCATTTTAATATATCAACGTGCTGCTTCACCTGTGTGCATAGAAATGAAAAATGGTATTAAAGATGTCAGCCTTGTGGAGATGTTAAGATTTTGTCCTACAGTAAAAGTAGGACAGTTATTTTAATCCAGTTATTTTATATCTTTTTATTTTTATTTTTATATATATATATATTTTTAAGTAGGCTCCACACCCAGTGTGGGGCTCAAACTAATGACCCTGAGACTAAGAGTCTCATGCTGTCTCCACTGAGCCATCCAGATGCCTTTTTATTTATTTATTTTTTTAAAGGAAAATAGTTGTTTCCATTTTTTAAAATTACCTCTGGGCTGACATCTTCCTCAAAATGAGATTGTAACTTTTTTTTCTTTTTCATGTTGTGGCTTAAAAAGCAAAATCCTTACCTACTTGTTACTTTTTTTAAAGCATTTTCCAGGATCCAAAAAATCACTTTGGTAGCTAAAAGCATATTCCGGAGTTCAGGCCTCAATTATATGGACAGTATGTGCTTTGGATTCTAAAAAAGGATCTGATTGCAAATGTGAAAAGAGTTTAGCTTGTGAAAACTTTGTTAGCAGTGTATTTTGAAGTTCCCTTTTGTTTCCTCTGTTAACCAAAAGAATAGTTATCTGGGGCCAAAGGGTTAACTTCATAAGGATGAAGCAATTTTTAAGGCCACCAATCTCTATGCACTTGGGTTCTATATAGAATCTGGACTTGCCCTACAGTCATCTTTGCTATTAGACTTGCTGGGGCTATTTTGCCAAAATAGATTTAGATTTTCATTCTAAACAGAGAATTTCCAAACCTTTTTAAAATCAGACTCCCAAAATACTGTTTTTATATCTGTGTATACAACACACATTCACACCTCCATTAGAAGACATGAAGAATCAAAGGTGATTGTCATTGAGTAAATACACTCAAAACAGCAGCTTGTTTTTAAGGCTTAACTCTGCCCTTTGCTGTTAAGAACTGGGTCCCAGAAATAGCCACCCATCCATCAGGATTCCCTACGCAGCAGCACTGGCTGACTTGGGACAAGATGGATCATCTGATAAAGGAGGAACAACAGCTACTTCGGCAGGAGAACGAGAGACTCCAAACCGTGGTGCGGAATACCAAAGCGGAACTCACGCATTCCCAGGAGAAGGTAAACTGAAAAGCTGCAGATGTGGTGTAGGTTTGAAAAAGATAGGAAGATGAGAGTTTGACATGATTGAAACGGTTCTAGGGTATGGATCTGAGTATTCTATGGCAGACTTATTTTAGAATGTATAATTCATCATTTACTAGCAAGTAATTTTACCCTGGTATGTTTATATAATTTTCATTCTGTATAATCAGTTCTATATTAAAATCAATGATTTTAATCCTCCTGTCCAGAATAGCCTCATGGAAATTATGTTAACTATATATTCTTCATTTAAATGGACTAGCTGCCAAGACTGGTAGTACAGAAATGGCAAAATTAGACTCACATCTTGTTGGGCTAACTCCTTGTAAGAGAAAAGGTACCCCTTTTTAAAGACTTGGCATTTCAAGGTGAGAATGGTCTCTAAAGAGGGTCTTTTCCAACCACTAAACGGATGTTTATATTCTTTACTTCTGCTAAGTAGCTAACCAACTATGCTGAACCTATGCTTAAACACTTCTTTTAAGGAGGAGCTCTCTGAAGAGCCACAGATAGTCATTTAGAACAGCTGCTCTGTGTCAGAAACTCTGCTCTCACTGAAGGTGCAGAGTCAACCAAGACAGACATGGTCGCTGTCCTCATGGAACTTGGTTGATATAAATGCATTGTTTCAAGTGCGAACAGTCCAGTACAAAGTGGATGGGACTGTCACCTCATTGACTCCTACAAGCTATGCTCCTGTCAGAGAGAAAGTGCCTGGGACTACATCTGTTTTCTTGACAGCCACGCCACATTGTTGACTCCCAGCCAATTGGAAGATCCAGAGGTCCCCTCTTCTCAGTCTGATCCTTACAGTCATTGGATTTTTAGACCCAACCAGACTAAAAATAGATTTACCTCGAAGGATCTTTTGAAATCCAAAAAAGTAGAGTTCAAGAATTGGCAGACTTGGGGCACCTGGGTGGCTCGGTCGGTTAAGCGGCTGCCTTCAGCTCGGGTCATGATCTCAGGGTCCTGGGATCGAGCCTGCATCGGGGCTCCCTGCTCAGCCGGGAGTCTGCTTCTCTCTCTCTCTCTCTCTCTCTCTCTCTCTCTCTCTCTCTCTCTCAAATAAATAGAATCTTAAAAAAAAAAATACAACAAAACCCAAGTGCTGAAAAAAAAAACTTCATTTTTTTCTTTCTTGCTAGATGACTATATTAACATTTCTTCCTCTCACGTATGTTCTTGTTAAGGTCCGTCAGCTGGAATCCAACCTTCTTCCCCCCAAGCACCAAAAACATCTGAACCCATCAGGTACTATGAAGCCCACAGAGCAAGAGAAGATGAGCTTAAAGAGAGAGTGTGAACAGTTTCAAAAGGAACGATCTCCTACTAATAAGAAGGTGAGTTTTAAGAGTTTATACCGTGTGTCTATTTCCTTACAATGATGTGTCCCTATGTGTATGTTTTTTTCCCTGCATGCTTCCAACAAAATGATTGATTACAGTGGAATATTTTGGTTCTTCCATCTATCTATACTTTTGTAATCTTATCAAATAGTATCATAGTTCTTTTTGATTCAGGGATGGTGGGAAAGGAGCAGTTAACTTTACGTATTCATAATGAAGATGCTTAATCTTCACTAGTAGTATAGCCTTTTAAGTTAGTAAAATTTATTTTTAAATGTATATATCCTGAATATTAGAAACATCTTAATATGGTCTGTATTAGCTACCTATTGTGATGTAACAAAACAACAAACATTTGTTGTCTCACAGTTTCTGTGAGTGGGGCATTCAGAAGCAGCTTAGCTGAGTGCTTCTGGCTGAGGGGCTCATGAGGTTGCAGTCCACACATCAGCTGGGACTGCATTTATCTGAAGGCTTCACTGGTACTGAAGGATCCACTTCCAAGTTCAGGAATGTAACTGTTAGGAGGAGGCTTCTGTTCCTTGCTGGCTGATTACAGAGGCCTCAGCTCCTCACTGCCTGGGCCTTTTCTCAGATCATGGCAGTGAGTAATAGGAGAGAGATTCCAAAAGCTGTGGTGCCTTTTATAAGCTAATCCTGGAAGTGACACACCATCATTTCTGCTATCTTCTGTCGGTCACATAGACTAACCCTGGGACAGGAAAACTCCGCAACGCTGTAAACCCCAAGAGGTGGAGATCAGTAGGGACCATCTTGGAGGCTGGTTACCACGTGGTTAAACCTCTGTAGCATCACTCAGTTTGCTTTCTGTACTTTGTTCCATGAAGTAAGAGTTCTAAGACCAGTGTTACCCTGGGAGTTCTGGTTGTTACTTGTTTTCTTTCTTTTTTCTTCTAAACTAAAATTCAGAGTTTTCACTGTTACCTTCCTCTTCTGAAAATTATGGTTTGTGTAAAAATCTGGGAAGAATGATGAACAATCAATTACTTCTGTTATAAAAACTGTATGAAAATGTTAAGTTTGTGAAAGTTATCATGACCATAGGCAGTAAGAAGACTGGTTTGTGCTCTAATGGGGAAATACCATTCAGTTTTAGGTATATAAACTTTTCAGAAAGATAAAGGGTTTCATCCAGCTGCTAAGGGAAAAGTCTAATGATAGTTTTAACCTGAAAAGCTTACATTTCTCTTTAACAATTTTTGCTCCTCTCCTCAGCTCTTTTTGATAGAAACCAAAATCAGCCTTCTACAAGTGTCATATATTTTCTACTTAGCAATATTCTGAATTCCAGGGTCATGTAGCTCATTACATTCCTCCTATAATAGAGAATTCTAAAAATGGATACTCACAAAATCTTCAAATTTCATCTTTAAAATTGAGAAAGGAGTTCTCCAACTCAGGTTTTATGTACTCTCAGTTTTAAACCTTTAAACTTTGCCTTAAGACAGTGTTTTTCCCACTGCAAATCCATAGTAGAGGATCATGAAATTGATTTAGTGAAACATCAGCCTTTTTTATTAATAAGATATGCTAGAAAATATCAGAGTCCATGGCTCACGGTAAGGATAAATTTCATTTCATGAAAGTTCTCTTTCAATGATATGTACTTATAATTGGTTATGGGTGTGGGCTTATGTCCTGGGTGTATTTCTTAGAGTGAGCAGCACTGAAGTTTGAAAGCCAGGTGCCTTCTGGAATCTGTTCCACGGAAGCAGTGGTGATTAAAAACTATCCTACTTAAATGTAATCAGTGCACTGAATTATATTGTTGTTTTCCTTCAGTGAGTGAACTCTGCTTTCTTCCAAGGGTTAAGATTTCTGACTAGCATAAATTTGTCAAAATAAAGTAGAGCAACTCAAGTGTGTTTGGTTTTTTTTAAAGGGAATTTTTTTTGTTTTTTAGCAGGTCAGTCAGATGAATTCCCTTGAAAGAGAATTAGAAACGATTCATTTGGAAAATGAAGGCCTGAAAAAGAAACAAGTAAAACTGGATGAGCAGCTAATGGAGGTAAGTTTTTAAGCAACTGGCCTTAGCTATGAAGAATATTTTAATCCACACATGTGCCATTTGTTGGCAGAGACCAGCATAGCATTGAATTCCTGTTATGAAGAAAAGTGAAAAAGTATGCTGCCAAGCCGAATTCTTTGGTCTGTCTTACCAAGTTTGATAGACGTTGTTGCTCATTACATAGTCACAGGAATTCATACTGCTTCAGAGAGGAAGGAATCATGTTGACTATTCTAAAATGCAAGGACTCATACCTCCACAAATTCAGGTGGCAGGAACTCTGTCTGATCTTGGCCAAGAGGCCCAGAGCTCCCCCACCACTGCTGAGGTTGTTACAGTTTCCTGACACCTCCCCTATTGTAGTGTTTTACAGATGGGTTGCTAACAACCTCTTTAGTTAGGAAATCCATGCAGGGAATTTGGGAGCATTAGCATTTAGAAGTTTAATCTTCCAGGGCTGTCATTGTTCATTACTACATTTGTAACTCAGCACTGCCTTGTGAGAGGTACATCTGTTAAAATATAAAAATGGAGTTGTAAAACTTGTCAGCTTGGACACTGAGTTCCCAGCCTACTAGACTGCTTTCTGAATACTAAATACAATGATAGGATATAAAACAACTTACGTACAAATCCTCCTTAATAATACAAATTTCACTGAGATATTTTGCTTGGGGTAGATGAAAATGTCATGTGGTGAACTGTAAAATTTATTTAAGGTAGAGAGACATGGGTAGAAAACATCTTTTTGTGCTCTTAAAAAGTTGTGTGTAAACAAATATTTTAGAGCCAGAATTATAGGATGAGAGAGATTAAATAGATGGTTTTTAAATGTGAAATATGGGCAGATATGTCACACTGACATTTAAATGACCACTGAGGTTTCTGCCAATTTTATGTTCTCTGATTTATCCACTAATAGGGAGATTAAACTATAAATAGTTAAATTCCAAACGCTTTTTTTCTTTCTCTGACAGCATATAATAAATGTGTTTCAAAGCTTGAGCTGCAGGCTGTGTTTAGATGTAGAGATGCTTTCTGATGAAATAATTGTATATTGTGATGAATAAGATATCTGAAGCTAAGCTCCACATGTCTCATACCAAATTGAAAAGTAGCAGGGTATACTTAGTCACTGGTAGATCCTCTCCAAATGTTCTGCCAACAGGCCCATTCATCTCCCACCTGCTCTAGCCAGCCTCAGAAACCCCTCTCTCTTCCTAACCCCACTTCACATGATTAGCTATCATAAGCAATTTCCTTTCATTATTTTTCTCCTTGATCCAGTAGTAAATATTTGCTAATGGATGAAGTGAATCGCATGTTCATGGCACTAGAGCTGAATAACTAAAGGAAAAACTTCAATTTTCCATTGGAACACTGAGAAGAACATCTCATACACTATTCTAATGAAACTTTCTTTAGGCAGTAAGACAGCTATTAACTCTGTACAGACCCATACAAATTGGATTCTTTAGCAGCTTTATTAAAATGTAATTCATATACCATATAGCTCACCTATTTAAAGTCTATACTTTGATGACTTTGGTATATTAATTTTTTAAATGGTGGTAAATATATGCAGAAAAGAATTTGCCATTTTAAAATTCAGTGGCATTAATTACATTCACAGTGTTCTACAGCCTCACCACTACTTCCAAAACGTTTGCATCACCCCAAAGACTCTAACCATTAAGCAGTAACTCTCCCTATCCCACCAGCCCTACAAAGTGGGTTTTTATTTATGTTCTGATATCTATAGATTAGGCCACTTTGGGGCACGTACAGTGGTTTTCACACCATTTTTTGTGCCCACCTCACCTGAGGGATAGGTACATTCCTCTGACTTGGCAGGGATTCTCATTGGGTTTGGGTGAGGGGCAGGCAGGGGTGGGGGAGATGTTCCAACATCAGAATCTTTGCGATCAAAGATTTTAGGAAAAGCTCTCTAGGCGATTCTAATCTGATGTATGTCCTCCCTTGTGGGAAGGAGTTTCTCCTCATCCTTCTTTGCCAGTTTAAAAGTCACTGATCTAGGGGCCACTGGCTGGCTCAGTTGTTGGAGCATGTGACTCTTGATCTCATTGTTGTGAGTTTGAGCCCTGTGTTGAGTGTAGAGATTACTTGAAAATAAAATCTTCAAAGAAAAAAAAAATCACTGAGCTAATACAATACATACCCATAGCCTAGGGCAATTAAATTCTTCCTTTTCCTGGTCTGGTGATGTGAGATCTTTAATTCCTATTCCAGGGCTTTTTCAACGACATGAGGCAATGTTCTCTCAACAACTGAATTTGAAGGTTCAAGAAAAGGGTTATAATCTGTATCAGCAGTTCTCAAGTCAGCCTAGCCAACAGTTCCAACACTTGAGCAACAAAATTGCCATTTGGAGATGCAGAATATAAACTATAAAAGTATTTAGTATCAGGTCCATCCAGACTACACCTAGAATGTTCTAAATAATTCTGTTGGGATAGGTGGATGTAAAGGTGGTAAGTTCACAAACCAGCCAAATCACAGTAGGTGAGGAAGCAGTTGCAGGATGAGAGCTATGAGACATTTTAAGATCTGTAAAATTGATATACAGAGAAATGTAAATATTGTCCTTTATAAGTTCTTACTGACTAGAGCGCACATGTTCAGGTATATAATATACCCAGTTTTAACTGTTCTCTTTTTATAACTCATACTTTTCTTCCTCTTTTTATGACTCCTGTAATTTTCTTTTGTTTTTGTTTTGTCTGTGGCTAACCTGTACCTAGAACTCTGTGGTTGGAACTAGCAGAGAAGGGTGCAGTTCTCTGCCTGAGATAGTGTGTGAAGGTAGAACATTCTCTTTCAATGAATTTCATAGCATGGAGATATCTCATTAGACTCCTTGTTCACGTAATCATTTTTACTGACTCTAACAGTAAATATATAAGAGCCAATATTCATTTTGCTTTAACTATGGAATATGTCTCTGTTTTCATGTACACCAGGATTTTCCTCAGTATTTAAAGACCTAGATGAAGAAAATCATCCTGCTGATATAAAATCATGGGATCATAATTCTCCCGATTTTTTATTCCTGAAAATAAAATGGTGGGTTTCTGAATCTACAACTAGAAGATTTCAAAATGGGTAATCTCCCACCTCAGAAATTTAGGTTTAAGGAAATGGATAGTGGCTCTGAAGTTTCATGACATTTAATTATAGTTGTGTCGTGGAGGGCCTTTTTCCCTTCTCACAAGCCTGGAGGAGCTGCTTCTTGAGTCTGGTACTTGGTCATGTTCATTGCATGCCTTCTGCGGGGTCCTCTATCTGCTGAATGTGTCGACAGATGTGGAGTGGCATGCCTCACTGGCCAAATGCAGTGCATTCTCCTTCTCCTTTTTCCTCTCCCCAGCTTTAGCATGTGATATACATATCATTTCCTCATGGTCTTGAACAAATACTTCTCCATATACTTCAATTCCCGGGGATTTTAGGATATCACCCTTTGTCCCAGAATTGCTTATCTTATAGTGCTATTTAAGAGTTTAACATTGGTAAACTAAAATAGGGTAAAATAATTTTAGATATGAGATTCTTTGGCTGTCCTGGAAAATATATAGTCCTTGAACATTTGCTTTTAAGAATCTTTATGAATGGTAAGTACAGTGGCAAAACCCTAAAGCAAAACCACTTTCTCCCCTTTGCTTACTCCAACCCTGTCTGCATTTTGTTTGTTTAACAAGGCATAATTAAATGTTCTAGTATAAGGAGACACTGAAGTAGAATTTAGACACATTATATATAGCATGTGCCTCATGCCCTTACAGTCACTCAAGAGTGAGGAAGTACAGTGTTTTAAGTCGAAAACTATATTATCTCCTAAGGAAAGTGACACTTCCCAATTACTTCTCAAGTCATGTACTGTCCTGTTTTCAAGTTACCAGGGGGTCTGAGAGGCCACTAATGAATCCATCAGCTTCATTCACTCTGCTTGACACTTTAAAGAGTAGCTCTGTGCTGCAAAGCACTGCAGCTGACCCGGGCTTTGCCTTTGTCGTCCAGAAGCAGCACCTGAGGTCCACTGTGATGCTTAGCCCATCCCCTCATGCTTGGGATCTCCAGCTGCGCCAGCAGCAAGCCTGTCCAATGGTGCCCAGGGAGCAGTTTCTGCAGCTTCAACACCAGCTGCTGCAGGCAGAGAGGACAAACCAGTGCCTGCAGGAGGAACTTGAAAACAGGACCTCCGAAATCAACACACCGCAGGTATGAGGCTCTTTCTTCCCTGCTGGTTAACTCAGCTCCCCTCATCTGGCCTGTTTATGGGAAAGTTATACCCATTCAAAGGTAGGGATAAAGAACCTAAATCTCTGTCAGAGAGCTCCATCTTTTACCTGTATGACAAACCCACAGAACTGCAGTGTTACTTGGGGGCTTTGTTTTGGTTTTTTTGCAGTGATGCTCTTGCACTCTTGTTCTGGGTCTCCTTTGCACATTCATAATTGATGAAGTATCAGGATCACTTGAGCATAGTGTACAACTGACCTAACGTTTTTGACTTAACATTTGTCTGATGCCAAAAATATTACACAATTCAAGTACAACTCTAGGATATGCATCATTAACAAAGCAGCCTGGGTTTTCCTGTAGAGGGGTACAATCTACTGAGTTCCATAGAATTCACAAGTGGGAACTTAAAACAACTAATAGAGTGTGTAGTCAGTGACTTGAGTTGATGTATTTCATTTAACTTAAGAATGATCAAGTTTGAAAACCTCTTTTTAAGAAAATAAATATCTTTTCCCTTTTCCTTTGAATTAGCCTTATCCTAGCTCACTACAGACACAATCTGATACAAGCTGGGTTTCCAAGTAGTTCTCTTGGGACTTCTGAAAAAGCTTGACTAGGAATGAAGCACCTTATGCTTTTTGCTTGCCCAATTTGTTTATTCAGAACTAGGAATAAAATAAAAAATATTCCTTAGTTTGTATAATTCTAAATTCGTTCTGGTTTGGATGCTTTTCTTCTGTTGTCTCTCAGTTGACTTTTCATAAGGAATTTCCCCACCTCCTTTTCTGTAATTGTCTCAGATTAGCACTATGATCATACCCTGGAGCAGTTCTGTCTTCCTCTGCTAGTAGTAGATACCTGTGCTTTGTCATGATATGCTTCTGTCAGCTAATCTTGTGAACAAAACCTTAAAATTATTTTTGTCTTCTGTGCTTTAAAAATCACGTTTTTAGAAGTTTCTGCTATTCCACTTCAGTTTCCAAATAGTAAAATTGTGCTGGTGGTGTGTTGAACAGATGCTTCAACAATGCATTACAGAACTGAATTATAAAACCTTGACCTCAGGTTTTTTTTTTTTAAGATTTTATTTATTTTTCAACAGAGAGAGAGCCAGCGAGAGAGGGAACACAAGCAGGGGGAGTGGGAGTGGGAGAGGGAGAAGCAGGCTCCCCGCCGAGCAGGGAGCCTGATGCAGGGCTCAATCCCAGGACCCTGGGATCATGACCTGAGCCGAAGGCAGATGCCTAATGACTGAGCCACCCAGGCACCCTTGACCTCAGTTTTTAACAGACATTTTAAATCAAAGGATTACGCGAAGATTTTATCTACTGCTTTCTCATAAACACAGTTTTCAAAGCATGCTCTTCTACCCCACCTGCCAGTGTTTAAAAACAATATCCTTTTACTCCAATTACTTCAGGATTAGATAGACAAAAACTGTTAAGATTTTTGTACTGAAAAAAAAAAAATTTCTCCAGTCAGATGGCAGAGTGGACTGCTTATTGCTCTCACTAGAATGCCACCGCACTCTCTCCTATTTCTGGTAACTGAGCTGCCACTAATTTTAAACGACAGAATATTGTTAGAATCTGCATGTTGTCTCTGTGTGTGGAGTGATGTGATGTCTTCTGCCTGTGTGTTGCCTTGCTTGCATACATAGTGTTCGTGTGCTTTTAAAAATTGTTTGCATTATAAATGTGTGAATTTAAACTCCTCCCAAAACATAATCTTGACATCAGGGTGAAGTGTACCACTTGCCTTCTCTCTCTAGGCCTTGCTACCGGAGCAGCGACCAGTGCATGCAGATTCCTACAGAAGGATTGGGCACCTGTGAAAACTGGGCTGCTATTGATGGCATTTCTTACCCTGGCAGATACTCAGACGCACACACCCATACACCCCGCGCACATACACACACAGACATAAGCTGAAAAACCTTTTGGAATCAAGTGCTCTTTTAAATTATTATTATTAGTATTGCCTTTGCAGTATTATGTCTCTTATTTATTAATGTAGAAATGACAGATTTTGTGAATCAAATTCACAAATTTCAGCTTGTTTTGAATCGTTTTATTTATACCATTTAAAGAGTGTGGACTTGAGATTCTTAAAAGGATGTATTCTATATATTTTCTCATTCCATATGCTGTAACTATTTTTAACAAGAGGTACTACTTTTATATATGGAATTTGAAGAAAATTTGGGTTATTTATACTGTTTTGTATAAGATGTATAATGCTTTTTTGACAGGAAAAAGGAAAATTTTGACAAAACAATAAAATAAATTTTAAATATATGACTGCCTTTGTTTTTCCTCTTTTGCCATGTTCCATGTTCTTTGAGTTATCTGTTATGGTTTTTTTTGTTTTGTTTTGTTTTGCTTTTTTTTTTTTCAGGCAAGTAGAAATCAGGCATTTTCCATTTACGTTTGAACTTTTAAAAAGCCATTATATCTTTTAAAATACAGTATTTTCTTTAAAGCTAGATGTTCTCAAGGCCTGATTTCTTGAGGTTTACTTTCTGCATTAGACTTACACATTCTACAATTTTTGACTTCAAATTGGTCACATGGTTTAGTTGCTTATATTTGAATAAATGCTGTTATTTTATCCGAACAAATTTGGCTTTCAACCCATGTTTGGTCATTCTGCATGCTTTCAAGAGGAGTTATATCATCAGCCATTAACATCTGAGTTTTGATGAACCTTTTAAAATCTGAAATTCCGTATGTGAACATTTTAGTGGCCTTCCGGGAGAGGCTGTTGGTTGCACTCTAAATCTCTGTGTTCTTGGGCTCTCCAGACCCCACGGAACTCCTTAATCCATCACTGTTGTGTGAGGAGAGGAGGGGCAGCCAGGGGTCTTCTTCTGCCCTATTATTTTATCTAGGAGTCGTGTGTGGGAAGAGGATTCTTAATTTTAAATCTTTTACGATAAACCCATCTTCCAGTGCAGATGTTTGCGTCACACTGACAAGTCAAATTGGGAAACAGATGACTACAGTAACTGGCAGGAAGAGGTTGATTGTTATGAGGAAAGGAACACTAACACCCTCACATCACAGTAACTAGCCATTTCACACAGGAGAAATGGACCTGCACATTGCAAGCTGATTGGAAATGTTAGGTGATCCTGAATAAATGCAGTTTTGTTTTATTCTTGAGAGACCCACAGTATGGCAAAGGCCCCAGTCACAGGTGGAAGGTTGATAACCATAGTTTCATTTACTTTGGATACCCATCTTACTAGAAGAGATGCACACAGGTACTAAATTATGGGTTTTAAGAATATGGCTTTTTCTCAGGGGAAAATGGTAACACAGGTAAGATTTTTTTTTTAATCTTTGATTCCTTCTCTGATAGGGTTTCTTTTCTAACATGCAACCCATGCAGTGTTCAGAACCCCCATTTCACCAGAAATCCACACTTCCAGTTACAAAGGCAAACATTTCCTGTCCTTTCTCTAGGCATCTTGTGGGGAAAAATAAATTACTAGTGTTTTTAGTATGGCATGATTTTCCAGTGATAATAGCCTTTTTTTCCTTCCCTTCAGGGAAACCAGGAGCAACTGGTGACCGTCATGGAAGAACGAATGATGGAAGTTGAACAGAAATTGAAACTGGTGAAAAGCCTTCTTCAGGATAAAGTGAATCAGCTCAAAGAACAAGTGAGCCTCCCGGGTCACCTCTACCCACCCACCTCACATTCCACTTTTAGCTCCAGTTTTCCATTCCTTTATCGCCATTAACTTGTTCACTTTTGTTGTCAAATAAAGGCAAATGCTACTACAGATGTACAGCAGAATTTAGGATTCACTCTCCCCCATACCACTCCAGAAGTATGAATTCTGTATTCTCTACATTTTTTTTTCCCAAAGCTCTTTTAAGGCAGGTTGGTCCACAATTTAAAAAATGTATGTTTGCTAACAGACTGACACGGACCTAATGAATTAATTCCTAACAAAGTTCAGCAGCTCAAATTTAATTTTTGTAGATTTTTTTTATTTGCCCAAGATAGGAAACATTCTATGGAAATAAACAGAAAATTTATGTTGGTAAAAAATTGGGGGACGATAAATGGAACTTTAGCTTTCCTGTTTGCAACAGCTATGATGACCTCAAAAAGTACTTAGGGCTATAACCAGACCCCAAAATACTGTGCTCTGAATTAGAATAGGGACCCAGAATTCCAGGACCACTATATGCAGACTGACCCTTTTCACCTGCTGGTGGCAGGTGTGGCCTGTGTTTAGAAAGTATTTGTGTAACCACGGATGACATACAAAAAAGGACTACTTTATAGGAACGTGTTGTAGTGCTTTGGAAACTGAAATTAAGAACTGAGGAGCGGGGGCAGAAACTGTCCAACCTGGTTTTCTAGATATATAAAAAGAAGAAGAATCCCAAAAGAAGGTCTTAATGCAGAGGTAGACTGGAACTTTCCTTTGCCCAATGTCTTAATCACAAAATGGAAAGAAAGTCTTACACAATACGCATTTATTCAATCCTTTAATCACTCACTTATTCAAAACATAGCTACTGTGTGCCAAGTCCTGTTCTAAGCACTAGAGATACAGCAGCGAACAAAACAAAATCCTGCTCATGTGGACTGTAATTCACTTACAAGGTATCGATCATTTGGCAAGGTAGTAATTTCAAAAACAAAGAAAATGGAGTCCACTTCAGCAGAGGGGAACATAGAGAAGAAATACTTGATCCAACTCAGGAGTTTAAAGCAAGTTTCCTGAAGGCCTCTTAAACCAAGTACTGATGCTGAGTAAGATCTGAACAGATGAAGAACTATGAGGACATTCTAGGCTATGGGAACATCATGTAGTTATGACAACATATGGGGTGTGGACATCTACAAACATTCTGGCATTAACAATTCATATGGTCCTGAAAGAAGCAGAAGAAACTAGAGCAATAAGGAGGAGTGGGCAGTAGAGAGCCCTAGGTGCTGAGCTATGGAGTTTGAATTTCATTCTGTAGGTGATGAAGAGCCATAAAAGTGTTTTTTAAAAGTAAGGAAAGAGAGAGAGTGGGATGAAAAGTTGTCTTAGTTTAATAGAGTAAGCTAGTATGTTACACCTGCCAAGTCATCTAGGTCCTGGGCTTCAGTGTCACCATTTTTATCATTGCCTTTTGAAATGCTAATAAATTAAGCTTCAGTTCATTATTCCCTAAAACCTCTATACTTTCAGATGCCCTGGTTAAAACTGGGTGTAAAATGAGGTATAACGAGGAAAGGGGTATTGGAATACATTTAATAGGAACCATAATAAAATTATCCCAAGGCTGCTGACCAATTTTCCCAGCCCAACCTAGACTATATCTTCTAACCCTAAAAATTAAAATATATCTTCTAGACAAGCTCTACTATGCAAAAGTGGAAGAGTTAAGGAAAAGTAACTGCCCAAATCTTACCTCTTTGTTGTATACATGGACCAAATTTTAAAATAAGCAGTAGGTTATAGCTATGGATGTTCTTAACAGATGCTTGAGCTTCCCAGAGTTAAAGTTCATACTCTATACCTCAGAAACTATAAAAGTATTTTGATATATTTTTAGAGAATGTAAAAGTAACACCTAATTTATTTAGATGGAAAAAGACTTTGATTTTTGAGCCTTTAAATATTAATATGTTCTTTTTGTTAGTGACTTCTACAAACATCATGCAAAGAAACAGCTTGGAATAAGTGGATTTGCTCTACTTGTATCCCTGATGCCAGGTCTGATGTTAAACCTGTGTTGTGAAATAAAAGAATATAATAGACGTCATTTGCCTTTATGAACAATTGTCCTAATGTCACACCCTTAATTACAGAAATGGAGTCAAGATGTTTCTGGTTCTGTTTCTAGCTCTACAAGAATACTAAAGCAGATGCAATGGTGAAGGATTTGTATGTTGAAAATGCCCAGTTGTTGAAAGCTCTGGAAATGACTGAACAGCGACAAAAAACAGCAGAGAAGAAAAATTACCTCCTAGAAGAGAAGATTGCCAGCCTCAGTAATATAGTCAGGAATCTGGCACCAGCACCACTGACTTCTACACCTCCCTTGAGGTCATAGCCAAGCCAAAGGATACACTCATATTTGTGCACTTTACTGAAATGGATGGAACATTTCAGTAAGTTCTCTCAACCATTTGTTTTTTAAACCTTTAATGGTTTAAAGTTAAGCTCAACCTAAAACTGCCAGCAACAGAACTGGTCTCCATTCATTATAATTAGTTTTTCTAAAGAGACTAAATTATTCCCAAGCTTTGAATTTTTTAAGAAATCCTAATAGCCACCAAAAAGATAGATATATGAACACAATGCAAGAGTCTTAAAACCCCAGTTTTGAATGAGTTTTTTTAAAAAATATTATATATAAAGCTATGTGTAAATTCCAGATATTTAAAGTTTGAGATCTGATTAGTCTATTGTTTTGATCTTTATTTAAAAAACAAATGTATGTCTTCTTATACCTTCAAATATGGAAAAGTCACTCTGTTTCTAATACTTTTTGTTCTTTGGTAACAGACCCTGGGCTCAATAACCACAGAGGTCAGAAAAGCCAGAGTCCATAATACTCTACCTTTTAACACCTATGACAGTATTACCACTCTTGATGTATTCTAGATGTAAAACTGATTTATTCAACTGCACTGTTAACTAATGTTAAAACTGTACTTTCTTTAAACATTTTTTTTCCTCCTTAGAAGTTTCATTCGGGGAGCTTATCTTCTAAAAAATGGATAAAGCCACGTTCTTAAAAGCATTTGAACTAAAGGGAAAGCATTGAACAAATCACTTTGGAGTAAACAGCTACTCTTAGAAGAGAGATGAGCAAACCATGTGGGTTTCTCTCTCAAGTCTTGGAGTTCATGAACTTATATTTAGGGTTGCTTCAAGAACTCAGGGAACAAATTTTGAATGGTCTTCCTGAAACACTGTAGGGCCTCTTTAAGAATTTGAAATGCATAAACCATGTGACCTTATTTGTCTTATATTTAGAGCTATACTATGATTTTTATTTCTATATTTTTGGTGAATTTACTCTTCTGAAAAGCCTTGATTTTAGAGTTAAAAACTTATGGAAGAGTTATTTGCTTGTTTAACATAGGTTAAAATTTCCATGCTTCCTATTCTTCTAACACTTCAAATCTGATCAGAAGAATTTCTTACTCTGAGGGCACCTGGGTGGCTCAGTCGGTTAGGCATCTGCCTTCTGCTTGGGTCATGAACCCAGGGTCCTGGGATCGAGTCCCACATCGGGCTCCCTGCTCAGCAGGGACCCTCTGACCCTCCCTCCTCTTGTGCTCTCTCTGAAATAAAATTTTTAATTTCTTACTCTGATAAGCACTGGCATGCCATCTGAGGTAAAAGAGTGCCAAGTAGGATTTTCCATTCAGTTCTCAAGACCAGAACTTTATAGAGCAGTCAACACTTTTAGGATGGGTAAATATTATCCCCCAAATCAAAGCTTTGCTTCTTAGCCTACTTCAGCCAGCCAGCCATTGGTGGAGGACTTATGTTTAGGACACTAACTAACAAAGCTCATTATAGTGACCTACTTGTTTTTGTGGAACAGCAATTAGGTAAGAAAAATTCACTCTGATGTATTCCTGGAAGGCCAAACCCATCGATTTACAAGACCGGTAACAGCAAAATCACACACCGCTTTATGGGCAGGGACAAAAGATTCACGAAAACTGCCTAAGAAGTCATATGATGTTTAAAAATCTCAACAAAACAATTTGCATCAAGCAACTTTCAGGTTCCTCGTGGCCTAACCATCTGTTGGTCCCACCTGACAAGCTAGGGCCAACACAGAAATCCTTACTCCAAGAGCTCTGACAAGGTATGGCCGTTTGTGCGACTGGAATTCAAACTCATGAAACCTTTTCAGGTCTGGATAGCCCTTACTATCAGAAAGTCCTGATTTCTCCCTGGAAAAATAATTAATTTTAATCCTTCCCTGTAATTACCCTTCAAAACATGTCACATCTGCTATCATGCCTTCCCTAATCTTTCATCCCAATGCAAACATTACTAGTCAACCCAACTACTTGTATGGCATTGGCTTTAACAGAGAATCTTTTTCACTTAAAACTGTGGATAGACCTAGGGAACTAAGGTCATAAATAAACTATGCATCTGTGGTGTATTTATGTGATATGCTTCAAGTTACTCAAGGTTATTACTATCAAAACTGAACACCAAGCAGATTTCTCAAATAACTGGCTTTAGCATGTGATCACGTGTTATAATTTTTGTTGTTTTTTACATTACAAAAAGTGTAGATTAATTTCTCATAAATCTATATGTGTATATAAAATGCTGTATAATGAATGTAAATATGACTTTCTGGAAAGTTTTAGACTACATTTAAAATCCCTTTATCCAAAATCAAAATGCTGCTCAAATGATTAATTAAATCAACATCTAGGTGCTTTATTTCTTGTTTTACTGCACTTATAAAAGGGAAAAAGATCAACATGAGGTTACCTTAAATTTATACATTTGTGCAGCAGTTTATTTTTGTAGCCTAGAGTGGGAATTTAACTGGCAATTTATAATAGCATTTACAGCTTTTAAAAAATCTTTTATTAAAGAGATTAAATTTGAACTTAAATGTTTAGGTTTTGCTTTCAGACTTTATAATAGCAATCTTTAAAATCACTAGTTATGTATTCTTTTATAGGCATTTAGCTACTTGTTTATTAAAAGCACTGGTTAAACTTTCTTTGGCTTTCTTAAGAGTTATTTAAATTAGTCTGAGAAGATGGGATATTCATTTCAAGGAGAGTCAAGTTTGCCTTTGTGATAATATGTTACACTAAGACAAAGAAAATGTGGATCACAAAACCTGCACTGTTCTATTTTGCTTTCTTCTGCTTTTTAGAAGCCTGAACTCTTAAGCTCAAATTGTGAAGGGAGAAAAGTAAATGGGGTGGGGTAGAACCGATCACAGTATTTTATTTATTTTTCTAAAACCTGGATTCTAAAACTATTTTAAATGTGAATCCTTCCCAGAAGCTTCAAATACATTGCTTATATATTTAATCTTGAGCATATTTTACATAAATAGATTACAAAATCATAAGCTTTCACAACATAGAAGGAGTCTTACAGGTCTAGTGTTTCAATAATGTACAAATACCCAGATCAGGTATTATTATGAAGAACATTTTTCTTTAAGAATGAATAAAAAGTCCACTTTATGGTGGACTTTAACACGTGGGAATGAATTTTTTTTCATTTCTTTTTTTTCCTGAGGGAAGGAAAAGAGAAATATGTTGCTGTTGTCAGCATCTTAAAGGTATTCCCTATCAAGGCAAGGCTAAGTGCTTTGTAATAGTATTAAGCAAGTCTTGTTTTGAATGGATTACCTGTAATGGGTCATTGGAATGATTACAAGTAATGCCAAAAGCCAAGTCAAAGCCTAATAACCAAAGCATTCCATATTTAAAACTTATCATATCATATTTGGACCTATTTGAACATCTCAACACTCTAAAATAGAAAACTGTTTTATGGCATATGGATAGCTGTTTATTAAAATTAACCTTTTATTGCTCAGCTTTTTTGAAAGATTTAAATTAACTTTATTCTTATGGGAAGACATTTTCACACCATGATTTAAGGGAACACTAGTTTTGTGGAAAAAAAAACAAAACCCTGAGTTCATCAAAAGCCATCTATAGGATTCCTTTGAGATAAAAATTAATGTGTATGTGTTGATACCAACTTTGTATATTTCATCTTAGCCATTCTATCTTAAAGGTTTTAATGTGAGCTTAAAATGTAAATAAAGAATTTTGTAAACCTGGCTCTTGTTTTCTATATATCCTGAACTTTTATACAGTGTATGTTCATCATTGGTCTTTAGAGTAAAAGCATCAAAATACTGCACTAAACACACTCTACAAATGCAGAATCTCTGCATCCACCCCAGATCTAATAAATCATATTCATATTCTGCATTTTAAGAAGATTCCCAAGTGATTTGTATGTGATTTAGAGCACTGGGACTCCATTTCTGTCACAGAATTGAAGACTTTTACACCAGCAAGTTTGGGGTCCCTGTACCCTGTAGTGGTTCATAATTCACCTCCAGAATCCTGACTCAGCCTCAGGTGAGGCCCTACTTGGGATTTTGGGTGCTTTGGAGGTGACTTTGCTTCACTTCCCCATCTTTATGGGTGACTCAGTTGAGCTGTTTGTGAATGATGCGATATATACAAGTATAGACATAAAAGTCAGCCTGAAAATACATTAAGCCACTATGCTGAATACTGAAATGTAGAATGGAAATGGTGGCCAAACTAGACCCATCTCACAAGCCTTGTTTAATTATTTTCAAAGCTTTTATATCAGCCTTACACTGCCTTTAGGAGGCAAGAGCTATAATTATCCCCATTTTACAGATGAGTAAACTGAAACTTAGCAAAATTGTGACTTTTAAGTCCACACAGCCAGCTAAAAAGGGCACTCAGGATTTAAGACCCTGATTTGTCTGTATTAATATGTTGCAACACTTTTATCAATTTCTACTTCCATCAACAACGTGTTGACTGAATACCTACCATGCATACTATAAAGAAAAATGTAAATCATTCCTGGTTTTCTGTTTATGATTGGGTTGGGGTAGAGTAAGATTTATGCACAAAAAAATCTTAACAGTAGTAAGATGTATGCACAAAAAAATTAGAAAAAGTATTTATCCATACAGAAGATTTTGTTGAAGGATTCAGTACTATGGGTACTGAATAAGGAAGGATAAGGATAAGGAAGATTAGCATCTTCAGGTATTTTAATGTAAAATGGGGAAGGTTCTTCATCTACTGTGTTAAATATAATTGTGTATGTACTTCATTGAGATTAGTGTAACCTGTTTGTTTTGTAGTCTCTTATTCATCTTGCATTCAAAAAGTCATATTTTCCCTCTGATATTAATTTGATGTCCATTTTCCCATAATAATGGTTAGGTTTTATCCAAAGGATCAAAATTTTGACCTAAAGTATATAAATTATAATCTATTGATTAAAATGTTAAATTTAATCTAGATAAAATATGTTGTAAGTCACAAAAGTGGTTTTTATTCACTGTTTGGTTTTGCCTCATTTGCAGATCAGGAGAAATGACTGATTTAAACCTCTTCTTAAAAAAAAATTAAAATTCCACAAAGGCAAACTGTAAAACTGAATCAGTAAAATGTCAGCTAAAGAGTAGGCAACCAGGATGCCTGGCTGGCTCAGTGAGTAGAGCTTTTGACTCTTCATCTCAGGGTCATGAGTTCAAGCCACACATTGGGTATAGAGCTTACTTGAGGAAAAAAAAAAAAAGTAGGCAACCATGTAAAATAAAGCTGGATACCCTTATGTTAAAATATTTAATTTTAAACACTTGCATGAGATATGCTTTACTAGTTACAGCAAAGTAAAAATCTAACAGTCCTTAGAGCCAAGATGAGCATTCACCATTTTTCTTTCCTGTTAGGAATTTTATCTGTCTTCAAGATTTCAAGCAATACATAAGCACCAACCCAGTCCCAGGCACTAAGATGTTATCCACTGGAGTGGTGGGCAGTGGGAGGCATGGGGTGGCTGGGGGATAGACACTGGCGAGGGTATATGCTATGGTGAGCACTGTGAATTGTGTAAGACTGTTGCATCACAGGCCTGTACCTCTGAAACAATACATTATATGTTAAAAAAAAAAGTAGGAAGGGAAAAATGAAGGGGGGGAAATTGGAGGGGGAGATGAACCATGAGAGACTATGAACTCTGAGAAACAGACTGAGGGTTCTAGAGGGGAGGGGGGTGGGAGATGGGTTAGCCTGGTGATGGGTATTAAAGAGGGCACGTATTGAATGGAGCACTCTGGGTGTTATACGCAAACAATGAATCATGGATCACTACATCAAAAACTAATGATATAATGTGATTAACATAACATAAAATATATATATATATATAAAAGATGTTATCCAGTATTAAAATGCTATGGACAATAAAAATTGTCAATGTTATAAGAAGATGCAAAAAAAAAAAGCCTGTGGAAATGTCCTAGATTAAAGGAGACTAAAGAGACTTGACAACTAAATGCAATTACCTACTCATAGGTTGGAATTCTATATTGGAGAGGCCAACTGGATATGGATGGTACAGTAGAATATAGCCTTATATCAATTTTAAATTTAATGAAGTTGGTAATTAGTATGTTTATGTAAGGCTATATCCTAAGGAAATACACACAAGTTTTTAGGGATAAAGAACCATAATGTATGCAACTTACAAATGATTCAGAAACACAAAATTATACACATACACACAAGGACTCAGAGTAATGAAGCAATTGTGCCAAATGTTTAAAATTTTGGGAGGGGCACCTGGGTGGCTCAGTCAGTTGAGCATCCAACTTTTGATTTTGGCTCAGGTTGTGACCTCAGGGTTGTGGGATTGAGCCCCATGTTGGGCTCTGCACTCAGTGCAGAGTCTGCTTGTCCCTCTCTCTCTGCTCCTCCCCCCACTCCCTCAAGCTTTCTCTCTCACACATAAATAAATGGATTTTTTTTTAAATAGGGGAAGGGTATGCAAATATTTGTAATATTCTTGTAACCTTCTTTAAGTTTGCAATTATTTCCAAATAAAACATTTCTATCTACAACATATAGACAGAAATTTACTAAATGTGGTAGTGGGCACTTCAACTTTCCTTACCCTCATGGCAACTCTGAAGCGTAGATGGTATTCCAGTGGGAGAGAAGAGGAAACTGACTAGAAACCATGTATGGCAGCCTATCCATATGCCTATGGTCTATTATGTAAATTTTGGTAGAATTAGATATTTTTCCTATTTCCCTGGAAACATAGAAAATGGGAAAACGTGGGAGATGGAGGAATTTGGCAGAAGAAGTAAAGCCAGAAGAGCAACAAGGGGGTCCATAAGGTACAAGAGAAGCTGTTCAGGAAATTAATCCCCCCTCCAGACACAAAATGACAGTCCTTAAAGCAAGACATAAAGGTCAGTAGCAGCTCAGGATTAACAGTGCACCCTCTTCTATCTCTTCACTTGTTAGCACGCAAGTATTTATTTTTCCTGAGGTAGAAAACCCACTTTATCCATGCCTACAAATGCTTGTACTCTCCTTCTACCCTCTGGAGAATGTGACTCAGAAACTTGTGCCAGCAAGTTTAAGTAAAAGGGGATTTACTCTAAGAAATCATATTTGTTTCACGGAACCGTGAAGGGCAGAAAATACAGACAAGACTTCATGAGGTATCAAATCAAAGACCTTTGGTGCTCTCCCCTGCCACCCTGCCCCCCTCTCTATGCTTATCTATCTCTCATCACTCGGTCTCTTGTTTTTGTTTCTCGCTCTGCACCTGTTTGGTGGTTGGGGTGGGGGGGCAGCGGCAGTGTTTTCCTATCACTTTCCTGTTCAAATGCTAAATGGAGTTCAACAATTACTAAAATCTGGTTAGATTATGGAAAGACCCTTGCCGGGTCAATCAACTATGGACAGCAAGGGTCAGGGTCTTGGGGTATGGTACAAGCTGCAGAGGTTACCACATGAGACAAAATACTCTCATAGATAAGGGGTTATGGTGGATAGCGAGGGAAATCTGGGTTTAAGATGTGTAGACAGTGGATAAAAATGACTTCAAGGGTAGGATTTCAAAGAGATTTTTCTGTTTACTCACATTTTATGGAAACCTATTCAAAGATAAGTGCCATTTTAAAATGCCACCTGGTGACAAAAGTAGTTGCTCACTCTTGTTCATGTTATTCCTATCTTCTCTCCTTGTTCCCTGCCCCCAGGTCTTTGTCCTGATTCCTACATTTTCTCCAGATAGCACATACAGAGCTTCGTCAGGGTGTCCATCCAAGTCACAGTGGGTATAATAAATACCACCTCCCATAACCAACGTAAGCAGTGCAATCCAGTGGCAATGTATTAAAAATATTGACAGGGAAAGGCAAAAGTTAAAGGTCTTTTTAAAAATATAATTACAGAAGATTTAAATTTTGCATTAAGACCATGCATAAAAGAAATTCTATTGAAGTTTGTCAAGATATTTTCCTTTACTCTCACAATCTGGTGTAGGAGCCCCTCCTATGTGCTCGCATAAGCACCCTGTGTGTTTTCAGGTGAAGCTAGTACCACTCTGTGTAATTGCCTACTGACTTGTCTCATCTCCATTAGACTTTTAAGATATTCCCAATTCGCAACCCAATGAAAAAAAATGGTGCCCAATTAACACTCATTACACGGATGGAAAAGTGTATACATTTTTTAGTTTTTCATCCTGTAATGGCACTGCACTCACAGGAGAGTATATATGCCAATTGTCTTATGTATATGATTTAATGGTGCTCTTCTCAGTATTTAGTGTTTAATAAAGGGCCAAAATTTTAAGAATATATTAGTAAGAAGTTGCAGAAAATTTTCCAAGTAATTTAAGGAAAAATAATCTTTTAGGATAAAATCAAGTGCTATATTCCAGCAGTTGAAAGAATAGATTTCCTTTCCAGGCCCATAAATCACAATCTAATAACTGACAAAAAGTAGTAAAAGTTCATGACATTTACTTAGATTAATGGATTGTAAGACAGTATAACAAAATAAAGATCACTTTTTCTAAAGAAACGGTCAAAATTCTAGTGAATTCTTTTTGACAGCGATGCTGGGCTTAAATTATCTCACATAATGTTACAATTGCTTAATCTTTGCTATTCAACAAATTACAGCATTCTCATTTTTCTGGTAAAAGCAAAAACTGAAAAGTTGGTTCTGTTTGCATGCAATGGAGTCAGGCTTTGCC